AGGCAGCCACATACTCCTCTGAAGGTTTTTATTAGCTTTCACAGTTTGATCATAAATATGCAATTTTCACAAGTACAAGGTGGGGTGGGGATTTAAATGATCTATGTGCTGCTTGTAAGGGATTTTAAGCAGAGGCAATTGTGTCAAACAAGAGTGTTGCCGGCTCGTCTCTTCCATAGTAGTAGAGCAACAGCATAAACAAGGAGTTCAGTGATTCAGTGATTACTTCTGTCTGTTTTTATATCTGTGAGATGAGTAATTCTGGTTGCTGGCTAATTATCACGTTGAAGATTACTTTCAACTATGATTAGAATATGCTTCCTCAAGGCATGTGTATTTGCCTGCTTCAATCTTTGATTTGGGGTTTATCCCTGAGCCCATCTCTCCAAGAAGATGCTATTTTCTTGTCTTGCACATTCTACATGTGACTATTGTACTTGAGATCAAGTGGGATGTTTTAAATAGGCATCAACCACCTGTTCCTCCATGTTCAATAGAAATATTGTTTTTTGTATAGTTGGTCAATCCATTTTCATCATTCAAAAACTCACAAATGAGTTCCCATCTGACCTCATACCTCACAGAAAGTGTTTCCTAAAAGTGATTTCTTAATTAATAATTTCACTTGTATTTGAATAAATGCAACAATATTCATTTAATGCCATACTAAGAAACATTAAGGCTAAAGCAAATTCCTAATTATAGTCATGTTCATAGTTGATGGCAATAACAAAGATTCAGACTCCAGGCAACATAATAACTTGCAGATGGCAGGTTGCAAAGTCAGTCAAAGTTCAGATACATTTATGAAACAGCCCAGTGGAGTTGCACTGTGTTGCATCTGACGGTAAAATTATATCAACGTTTAGTTTAACGTCTGGGCTACACATTTTTATAACAACAAAAAATACTGTAATGACAATAAAATCTGAGTCACATGTTCATCTCTCTAAAACAGTTCAGTTCTATCTCTGGTTTTCACGTGCATTTCACACGCTCTCAGCACAAACTGGCAAATAATGACTCTCAAGGCTCTTCATATTTTACTAAAGTTGAACATGTCTTGTAATAAGAAAACCGTGTGTTGTAATATAATCTCTTTCCATAATTTTACTTTTCCAAGACTCTTTCTGTTGGGACTAAGACGGTTTTTTTTCTAAATAAGTTTGTGTGGATGTTGATGATGAACTTTGCAAAAACCATTATCAAAAATCAAACTTAGGAGCGGCCATAGCATTGAGCCTGCGCGGTGCCTCAGCTGACGCTCTCTCCGAGTTCTGAGAAGTCATTGTCTTAGTCCGAAGTAACGTGTTGACATCTGCATGACTTCAATTTGACTCGACATGTTTTGTCATTTAAGCCTGCCTTGCCTTGCCTTCTCAGTTTTTTTTATTTCTCAATAATAAAGGCCCAACTGTTTTTTGTGCTTCTTGCATAATAATCACACCAAAGGCTACAACCACATGAGCATCGCAGGATAAGCTGATCATAGTAAACGAGAGCCCTTCATCTCGTCCTTTGAGTGTCCTCTTGCCGTCCCGTCCAAGTAATCAGCATCTCTTAAAAGGAGCGGAGCCCAGTCCAAGCCAAGTCAAACAGTGTGTTCTGATCAGAACTGAGCCCTGCCCCCACTGCGACGACCATTCCGCTTCTGTCATCCATGGCCTCATAGATTTTTCTTAATGTGTTGGTCATTCAAATTCTGCATTAAAGCCTCTGTCACTGTTATCTGTTTGTGTATGTGATCATGTTGGACTTAAACCACCTCGGCCTGCACTGTGTCGGCACTGCCATGGACTGGTTTAGACTGTACTGAGCGGACGCATGTTTGATGCATCTGGTATTGGGGAATTGTTATAAGCCTTATTCAGTTTGTTCATTATATGTTAGTTGCATCCTGAATATTGTATAAACAGGATTGTGTTCCACACTGTGCACCCTTCTGTGTTTTTGTGGTGTGTTGTAAAGTGGCGTCCTCGTCCCACACTTGCCTCCCACTGTGCTTGGATAAAATATGCATTGCATTTAGAAATTCCTCATTTGTTTCAAGTATGAAACCTATGTTTTTCTAAAACATACATGTATATCAGGATGAACAATCAAAGTTAGTAATCAAGAGATAACTCCACTACTAAAATAACCCATAGTTCCAACCTTTTCATGCCTCAGGCTGGTAATATATGCCCTACTGCCGCTCGGCTCAAATTGTTACGAGTATTATCAGGTGAGTCACATGTGACGAGCAAGGCCAAGAAATCTGAACTGCTAATTTTACTTCTTCCTATACTGGCTGCATTATTAGCCATTTCATAATTAAGGAAGTCCCAATGGTTTGGTCCTGTCCCAGTCCTGATCCCATGATCTCATTCAGGTTTAGCTCAGAGTTATGTTATGTAGAGTTTTGTTTTGGTTTGGTCTTTGATCAAAAATATGATATTAAACACAAGATGCAACAAGAGAAGGGTGGCAGTGAAGACTTTCCTCAGTCCTGGTATATCAATCAATATATCAAAGCCCACTGAGTAGTTCAGAGGATCAGTATGTCCGTGTCGTGTCATGGCTCTTTGATTTAGGACTGCAACAGGGATGTCTGTCCTCCTCTGCGACTTGCGGCCTGGACACTGCAGGTTGGAGCAGATGCAAAGCTCCTGCTCACATTTAGAAGTGCTGCTGCTGCTTTATTAGGGACATGGATCAGGAGATGGATTGGATGCATAGTGCGAGTGCAGTGAAGGAGTTAATTAATGAGATCATGATTTGTTGATAATCTCAAAACTAAAGCTCTCAGTCTATGGATGTACACAGAAATCATTTGAAACACATGCTGACCGCACACTGTATGTAATCTTAGCAGCTGTCAAAATACAGGTACAAGCCCCACTGTGAGTGAAGGTCAGATGTCATGAGAGAGTCCCGCCTCATGCCAATCCCAAACATGCACAGAATTGCGTGTGAAAACATTCAGCTAGTTAAAGCAGGACTTCACCTTTCATTGCATTCTTCATAATATATTACAATCAATGAAAAAAATAGTGGTTAAAAATAGTAAGGTGAAAAAACATTTTACCATGAAAGTCAGTGTGTGTATGCATTTGTTGTGGCCACGTGCCGGTGCATAAGAGCATTTGTGTATGTCTTTGTCGGCCTGCTCTGAGAGGGGGTGGTGGGATGACCGGCTTTCTGGGACGTGACTGCTACCAAGCGTATCACATGATGAGCTGGGCCTCGGGGCGAAACTCTCAATCTTAAGAGTCTGATGGGACAGTGGGACATCAGGGAACGAGTGCTAGGGCTGCTTCTTCTGACTACTTACAACTGTAACCATGTCCTGGTTTGGGCAGCGCATTTTTTTACTCATTTTTTTATCACAATATAAAAGAAAATACTCAGTATAATGGAATAAAAGTGCTGTTGACTTTCATACATGGCCGTCTTTGCTATAACCTGGTACAATGCATCTCTCTCTTGTGTTAATGTTTGATTGTACACTGTCCCTGTTCAAATAAAGTACACACCATTAATTTGCTATATACACACAATTTAAATATGCCACAGCAAAAAATCAGCAGCATGATGTTTGTATAAGGTTTTGTTTCTAAATTACATTATACAAGTCATCTCTTGTTATTTATCTGAGCACTTCCTCTTACTTTCCTGGTTAAATGTAACCTGTATTCCATAATTTGTACCAGTATTGCGATTTACAATGTGATGTAGCCCAGCCGCAAAGATCCATATAAGAAAATATATTTTGTTTTAGTATCAGTCTGTAAACATGATTTACTGTTAGGAAATTAAATTGAAATGTGTTTTATATTAAATGCCATCTCTTCTCCTTTTCTAGAGTCTTTAAATGCAGTGGTGCGTTGAATGCTGTTGTAACAGGGGTGCTCAGCTGAAATAGGTCACATATCTGTGACCTATTAGTTTCAAAGAAAACTATTCTGTATTTCTAACTATATATTCCCAAATGTTTAAAAGAACGAATATAATACTTAAACATATTGCGACTAGAACTTATTTATAAACCTCTCCCTATTACACCATTTACAAAAATGCAAAAATCCATCCAATGTTGACCAATTGTCCTAGAATCTATTATTAGCCCAACACAACATTGTGAAACTGTTTCAAGGCCTATATGGGATTGTGCTGACTACTACATAGATAAGGAGGCCTGACTTTACATTAAAGCTGGGATACGTAACTTTCAAACCACAGACAAATGGAACTATGTTGTAAAATCCATGTTACAAGTTCATTAGATCCTTAGATAAGACAGAAAAGTGAGAAGGATAGGACCGCCTTCACTCAGCCAATCAGCTCTCAGCCCAGAATGAGATGAAGACAGCATGTTGTAGTCTTATTTGTGAACAGACTTTCTCTGTTCATTTGTGTTATTTATGAAACTTTAAATAACTGAATTTGTTAAATAAAAAATAATAATTTGAGCATTTTCTTAAAGATTTTGCAATTTTGCAAATGAACATTAATAATGCAACAACAAAAAAATACAAATAAAAAGATTTAAAACTGGTTCAATGCATTGGCTTGAGTATTTACCTCTGAACTTGACCTGGATTGATGAATTTTAAACTAATTCAAACAAATATATTTATTTAGAAATATGTGTTTAATCTCAATCTGTGTGCTCGTCTTGGAGTATGTGTGTAATTGCAAACCAAAGGCAAATGTCTATCACCACTGCACATACTGCACAATAAAGTTAGTCTATTCTAGTCTAATTCCTGACGGATTAGTGAGTGTCTGAGATGACTGAATATATGAATAATGAATGATGTGTATGTTAATTTTGACTTCTGCGAGGCCCACTATAGTGACGGCTTCCTCCATGTGCTCTGTGTTCCAGGACATTGTGAGTGTTGCTAAAGATGTCTGATAGTGCTGATATTGAGGAGAAACCACCAGCCCCCCCCTTGAGAATGAACAGTAGTTCCCGAGACTCTTCATCACTGAATCACGCCTCAAAACCGCTTCCAATGGCTCCTGAAGAGAAAAACAAGAAAGCCCGCCTGCGCTCTATCTTCCCTGGAGGAGACAAAAGTGAGTCCATCTTTTTTTCTGCATTGATTTCATATTCTAATAACAAAATTAATGTAGCGTATTTCTCCTGCAGCCAACAAGAAGAAAGAGAAGGAGCGCCCAGAAATATCACTTCCCTCAGATTTTGAGCACACCATTCATGTTGGGTTTGACGCTGTAACGGGAGAATTCACAGTGAGTATTGACATAGAGTAGTCACTTCCTTCGTATTTATATTCTGGGGTGATCTGAGGTATGCGCCGCTTAAATCTGTAATTCCCTGGAGGTGACTCTTAATGCAGTTTCGTTCACACAAAGTTAGACAAGCCGCTGACTTGAATGAAAATGAGTCCATCCTGCGTCTCCTGCTGGAGTTACATTTTAGCTACGAGGCTCAGGTGCAGGCTCTAGCGATTGTTTGCTTTTTTTTTTTTCTGGTTGCTCAATGCGACCCAAAACAGTTTTCTACCTAAAATAAAGCTGTGTACAACAATTGGGATTGAATACTACTTGAGGGTATAGTGTATTCCTTTTTTTAAGCCCTCACTGTTGTCAGGTCTCTCAGTAAGAAGGTCCTGGTTTGGGCTCCAAGAAAGAGTGGAGTTTGAATGTTCTCCCCGTGTCTGCATAGTTTCTCCTACCACTAAAATCATGTACAATGGCAGTAGGGATGATAACCAGCCTGGAGCTGGTTATCACCTCTCATTAATACATACTGACCCATTGAAATAAATCAATTAAGAAATACATGGAAATGTCTCAACAGGGAATCCCGGAACAATGGGCGCGCCTCCTCCAAACGTCCAATATCACCAAACTGGAGCAGAAGAAGAACCCCCAGGCTGTGCTGGACGTACTGAAGTTTTATGACTCCAAAGAGACCGTCAACAACCAGAAATACATGAGTTTCACCTCTGGAGGTCAGTCTAATGAGGACATCAGCATCTGCTGGAGGGAAACATAAATGTAATCATTATTATTTGTTTTTTTGTTATAGACAAATCTGCACATGGGTACATTGCTGCAAATACTCTGGTAAGTTACATTATCATAGATACAAATAATCTTTACAGAAAAGCAAATTGAAAGATGGATAATCTTCATAGAAATGGAATTTGATTTAGTTAAGTTTAAAGAAGAAACAGGTAAGTTCTGACCTAATGTTGCTTAAAGTTTGAACAGCTCTGCAGTTTTACTTATCAAACTTTTTCATTCCCATCACATGGTTCTCATCACAATATCTGACCTTGTTCTGAAGACTCAGCTCTGCTGAGTGCATTGGTGGTTGAGGCGTGCCAATCAGAGTGATTCTCTGCTGCAGAAACTGCTGAGATGGAAACCACTGCTGCTACTGTTTATTTTTCCAATCGACTTAACCAGATTTTGAAACGTCCATAGATGAGCTGTGCACATGGAGGAGGACTCCCACTGTGTTGACCTCATTCCTGGCTTTGGCCAGAGTAATCTACGCTGTGAATACTGTGGCCTGTAGCACGCTCAGCTGCATAGAGAAGTGGGATCCAAGTGTTTGCTGGATTCACTGCCCCAGGCGACCACTCAGAGAATACTCTACACTGGGCTTTTCATGAGCAGCAAGTAAGCGGGTGACAGTCTGAGGTTGTGTGAGGCGATTTCTGTCACAGCCGTCCGAGCCCCGCAGAGGTGACTCGGCTACATTCAAACATTGGCTGCACTTGGGCCAAACTGTGGAGGAGCCAAGACAAGAATTTCAGCACCTATCAGACTGAAGGAAATACGCAATCTGCAGGATTATTTTTTTCACATATGAAATGCATCATTCTTCTTTTATCTGTGATGACCACTCCCTGTGTGTCATTAGGCTGTGCTGTGAATGCACGACTGTAATAAGATCATTGGCCCGTAGTCTTTGAAGTGTTCATCTGAAAGTCCATTAGAGACCTGCTTTCATACTCCTTGAACTCCTCTTTAATACAACCTTCGACACTGTGAATACTGAATAACTGTGTTTCCTATGGATCAGTGTAAAAGCTGCCCCCTGTGTGAGATTCATCTTAAAAGCATTTGTAGTTTAATTAACACTGATGTAATCTCAGGAGGACATGTTGTAAAGTGATTAGCAGAGCTGTGTTGTTGGCATAATGTTTTGGAAAAGCTTGAATACACTTTTTCCCTCGTCTGGGCATCAGACTATTTTTATAATATTCTTTGAGAATTGGTTTGTGCATCAATTCATGTGCATAGTTGGAACAATTAGAATGTGATTGTTCTCCAACATTTTCACTTTTTAGGACAACTTGTCTAATCATTTCATTGATTTAATCATATCATAGTAGTTGCACATGATTAGTGATGGTTGGCTGTGCAGAAGGACATGGAGATGTCCAGCCCTCGGCAGCAAAACTCCTGCCCTTTCCCCCTCAAAAGACCTCTCTTAAACTCTGTGTGGCTTTGTTATGAGTAAATGATCCCATTTGTAACACTCAGAACCGGCTGCTGTCGTCTGGGCCTCCCGTCAGCCTCAGAACCTGCAGCGCATTATTTGACAAGGTAACTCCTACGTTTACTCTCCACTTACCTCTCCATTGGCTTCTTCAGCTAAATTCAATCCTGATTCAAAAACACTCGTAAATGAGTTGGACTTTCAGACTTGAGCACCTCTTGTGTTTTGATTCAGCTGTTTCGTTTGGAAACAGAGGGCAGGGGCGCATGCCACAGAGGGTTGTGACTGTTCAGCCTCTGCATGTGTGAGCTCATTCTTCAGTCCATTCCTCGCTAACAGTCAAAGCTCATCACCATCAGGCTGGAGACATTAGCGCATGTGTGAACAGCACAGACTCATCCGCAGCAGAGTGAGAACTGTGAGGAGCCACAGACCCCCCCTCACTGAGACCCCTCACTCCCTTTACTATCCTGCTGACACTTATTTCAAAGATGAAAATGTGTTCTTTTCAATGACCCCGGGAAACTCACCGTCTTCACCTTTTCATACAGAATTTCTGTATATTTGTAGATACTATCTTTGTAGAAATAACCTGTTGAACCTGTACTATCTTGAGATAACCTTCCTTCTTCCACTCTGTTGTTTCCAACATTCTTTTCGAATATGATCTTCTGTTCTTTTTGGCAGCAGAAAACTTTACTGAAAAGAATTTGACATAAAATGAGCATTTTATGTCAAGAAGAACAGTTGAAAAAGTTGTATGTAAACCCTCATTCATTTCCATTCAGCTCAGCATCTGATGAAAAATAAAACAGAATAATTTATTGTAAATTTTAATAGGGAAACTATCCAATTATTCTTTATATTAGAATAGTGTTCGTAATGTGGTGTTTGCAACGCTCTGGCAGGCCTCAGCATAGTTACAGTACCTGTTACAACCTAATTTATGTGTGGGTTTAAAACTTACTTTAAAGGGGGAAAACGTAAGTCCTTATAAAGTGCATATGGGTAATGGGGCTGGCTGGAATCCTCTAATAAATAATTAACTATTAGTATGAGGAAGTGAATAATACAAAGTTGATGGTCAGTTCCTCTCAGCTGTAAAGTATTATAAGTATACTGTATGTGTTTTCCTCAGGGTGCCAAAACCTCCACAGAGCCACCCATCGCTCCCCCAGTGTCAGAGGAGGAAGATGAGGAGGAGGAAGAAGAAGAGGAGGAGGAGGAAGAGGAGGAAGAAGAAGATGAGGTGCCGCCGATGATCGCGCCTCGACCTGAACACACCAAATCTGTACGGTTCATTATAGTTGTGAGACCCAATGCTCTGTTCTAGTGTAAAATTCACTGTCCCGTCCCATCAGATCTACACGCGGTCCGTCATGGATCCTCCAAAGCCCCCCACCCCAGTGAAAGAGGTGCCCACGCCCCCCGAGTCCCAGGTGCAGACCGACAACACGCCCAACACCCTGTATCGCAACACGGACCGACAGAGGAAGAAGTCCAAGATGACTGACGAGGAGATCCTGGAGAGACTTAGTAAGTGTCTAAGAAGGAGTTTTGATTTTTTTTCTTCCCTAATTGTTCAAGTCATAACTAAAACCTTGCCCATTAAATTAAATTACGGTTTATATTGTATTCAGAGACACAAAAAATGTATTATATGTGAGGTTTGTGTTCTTGACTGCTGCCTCCCTCTTGCATGAGCTGAATCAGTTATACATGCTTATTTTTCTTTTTGACTCAGGGAGCATCGTGAGTGTCGGAGATCCCAAAAAGAAGTACACACGGTTTGAAAAAATAGGACAAGGGTAAGTAAAATTGAACTGCATATATTGTTTAATTTCAGTTGTAAATGCAGTCCTGAACAAAGGTTTAGGACCACATGAAAACAGGCCACAAATCATATAGTTTTATCACAACAAGAAGCAACAGGAGTGAGACATGATGAAAATGAGCGAGCAATGAAAGCAACAATTAAACTGAAAAAGGTTGATCAAAAGTTTAGGAATAATAATGCGAAGCGTTATTGTTTGTCACGTGAAAAACTCGAGGAGCGTTCTAGGAGAGGCCTCTGAAGTTGTTTTTTGGTTTTTGAAGCCTTCAGTCTCTCTGGTTATTGGGCTGCGGTAACCGGATTAATTTGGGTCAGGGATCATCCTGTGTCTTGGAGGAGGCTCTACTTGGAACCTTAATAAGATCCAACCATGCAAAATAAACATTGTTTTGCCATTTTGAAGTAGTAGTAAACTTTTGATCAGGACTGTGTGAGTAATGCAAAGGTGTAGTATTTTCAACTAGTTGTGCTCTCGTATAAGAGTGACTAGTTAATTATTTAGAGTGCACTGAGTGGACACTGGTGTTCTGTATCTGCCAGAAAATAGCTGCTCCAGGTTTCTGGTTTCAGAAGTTACACTTCCAAATAAGGATTGAATCCATGCATACATTCCTCAAACTGAACACACTTATTGGAAACCATAAATTATTTGAATTTGCAAATGTTTGCTGTCACCACTATCAGAGGCTTATATTTGATGTTTACAATTTGGTATAATATGTTTTTTTTTGTATTCCTCAGGGCGTCTGGCACTGTGTATACAGCTATTGACATAGCAACTGGCCAAGAGGTTTATATTTATTTTCTCAATGTTGAAATGATTCAGAGTGATGCTGATACTGTGTCTTGTCTCAGGTGGCCATTAAACAGATGAATCTTCAGCAGCAGCCCAAGAAGGAGCTGATCATCAATGAGATCCTGGTGATGAGGGAAAACAAGAACTCTAATATAGTCAATTATCTGGACAGGTGGGTGTTGAATATTGTAGTTTATATGTTTTCATCATATTTTATTATGCTGTTGTTTTGTAGTCTGTACTATACACAAGTATCAGATCATTTAAGTTAATATTTAGAGATGAAAGAAAACATGAACACATGTTTGTCTACTCTGCTCCAGCTTTATTTTACTTCTGTATATGTTCATATCATGGAGGCACCAAACATAAGAAACTGTGCTTTACTGCCACCTACTGTCAATTGAAAATAACTATCACATGGACTGGATTGTTTTTACCATTTCAAATACATTAATACTATTAATACTACTTTACTCATTCAGTGTTCAAAATAAAATTTTAGTTTTGTTTAGTTGTATAATTATAATTTTGTTCTTTAATGCAAGGCAACTGATATTTTAAATGTAATTAATTTTTCATTTGCCCTTAGTTACTTGGTGGGGGACGAGTTGTGGGTGGTGATGGAGTATTTGGCTGGAGGCTCGTTGACAGATGTAGTGACAGAGACGTGTATGGACGAGGGCCAGATCGCTGCGGTCTGCAGAGAGGTACAACGCCAACTTTACACTTAATCAGCAACTTCCTCCTGCAGCCGGTCCGCTGTGCCATATAGCAGCTGACCTTTATGTTAGGAGACTAAAGTTTGTCTTTGCCCACAGTGTCTTCAGGCGCTGGACTTCCTTCACTCCAACCAGGTTATTCATAGAGATATAAAGAGTGACAATATCCTTCTTGGGATGGATGGATCTGTTAAACTCAGTAAGTCCAGTTCTACTCAACACAAGTGAGACACAGCACTAAGTTTGTACTAGAAATCCACTGATGGAATGTCCCCCTACAGCTGACTTTGGGTTCTGCGCTCAAATAACACCAGAGCAAAACAAGCGCAGTACGATGGTGGGCACGCCCTACTGGATGGCTCCAGAGGTCGTGACAAGAAAAGCCTACGGACCCAAAGTGGACATCTGGTCCCTGGGCATCATGGCAATAGAAATGGTAGAAGGAGAGCCACCATATTTGAATGAAAATCCCCTGAGGGTAAGAGGCATTGCAGGATGGTGATGTAAATATATACAGTATGTATTAGAAATCATTGCTTCATTGCTTCTGTCTGTCTGCTCTGCACAGGCTCTGTATCTTATAGCAACTAACGGCACCCCAGAGCTGCAGAATCCAGAGAGACTATCAACAGTTTTCAGAGATTTTCTTAATCGTTGTTTGGAAATGGATGTGGACCGTAGAGGCTCAGCCAAAGAGCTACTGCAGGTAAACTCTCCATTAAAGAGTAACTAATGTATAATAAAGAGCCTCTTTATGAGTCTTATCTGCAGAAACATGTAATTCAGATAAAAGTCTCAGGTCAGCTCAGCAGGATGAAGCTGTAGTTGATCCAATAAATTCTGGATCGCCTTGGAAAATAATTAAACAAAAAGCAATTTAAGCATAAAAACACTGCAATCCGTAAAGCAATTGATTCAAAAAGACGTAGATTGAGAGTTTCCTCTTGCTTCAGTAACCGAGTAACCATTTTGCTCCAAATCATCTGATTTTTGCAGTTTTCACAAATTCTATATAAAGTATTTGTCGACTTATATCAATTTTGGTCGACTAAATATTGCCAGCTATTTAGTCGACTGGCAAGCTTCTGTGAACCCTTGCAGCCTCTAGAGGGCATCAAACCATGAACCTGAGTTTGACTTTTTTTTTCTTATGTGATTCTACAGCATAACTTCCTGAAGCTGGCAAAGCCTCTGTCCAGCCTGACGCCTCTGATTGTAGCTGCAAAGGAAGCCATAAAGAACAGCAGTCGCTAGGACGTGCCCTGTCCCCACACCCAAAGCTGCAGCACTTTGGAGGGATGAGTGCATTTTGGGTGTTTGGGTGGTGCATGCTGTGACTGGGACTTCTCCATGTGGGTGACTGTGTCTGAATCACACAGGGACTAAACCCCAGGCTCCGAATGCAGGACGGACACCGGCCTTGCAGCCTTTCGTTGCACGCTGCTCAAACTTTTGCCTCCATGTTTCCTTTTCCAGCAATGTACAAGTGGTGCATTACGACCTGTGTCTGAATGTGAGTTTGAATGGTCTCGTTTGGAAGGCTCCCATACCAAAAGAAGGATTGGAAAAGCTAGGGACTTCAGGAGTAAATACAAATAACCTGTGTTCCCTGAGCTTTAGGTCACTTTCCTTCAAACCCTCAGTGGAGCCTCATCCTATGCTCCTGTGTTTTTGGGACTCTGGTTCGTACATTTCCTGCATGAATACAACCGTGTGGAGCTTCAGATTTCACATCTCAAGGCGGCACATTACTGTGTAGAAGTGTGTGCATTTGTGTGTGTGTTTGTGGCGCATATGTGTGGAGTGGATGCATAATGTGTGTGGGCTGTGATTCTGCTTTAAACATGATTTAGTATTTATCTTACAACATGTGGACATTTCAAGAATATCAATTTACCAGTTTTGGTCCAAATATTTAAATAGAATTATTGACAACAGAAAAGTGCTTTTAATGAGCTATTGAAACATGTACATTGTTCTATTATAGAACTAGCAAGATAATTACATAACACTAATTGGCTACTATATTAAGTCTGTTCAGTTACTAACTTAAGGTCTACCAAAGTACTTCAGACAGCATGCTACAAAGGTCTGCTTATACTCAGCTTTTCTCTGCTGCTTTACATGTGCCTATAAGGAACGCGTTTATTCAAGTAACAAATGACAACAATATTGGCTTCAATTTAAATCATTATGTCATTCTGATGCTTTCAACCGAAATCTACATGTTTTAGCTGCTGCTCATGAAAACTGTCTTTAAATTGTGTCTTATGTGATATTTGTCATGTGATCGATGTGTGGTGCAGTGGGTGGCTTATTAGAAGGAAACATCTTTTTTTTAATAACTCGTTTAATGACCAATACACACCGGAAACTGTGGAGCAAATTATTACGTTGTGTCTTTGTTTACCGGTTTTAAATGCTGATGAGTGTCTGCTTTGTGTTCATAAGTTGAGGTAGTGTATTTTTTACCATTTAAATCCTTGTGAGTGTGTGTGTGAGAGGGAACTGCCTCTATCTGCACTATAGTTAATGCCTCACCTGTCTGTCCCACTCCAAGGTGCAGGGTCAACTGCTTGGTCAAACTCACCTCCACTGTGCAGCAACTGTACAGACGATTGAGGTTGCAACAGAGCCCATGCATGAAACACAAACTAAAACCCTGTATCTCATCTTCAAATAGATTGTTAGAATATTTATGTATGTATGTAAATATAACAGGCCGCCTCCTTTTTCCAAATATGAATCAATATTCAGGTTGCTGTATGTAACATTAAATGTTTTGCACCCTGGAAGAGGAGAAATACACGTGTTCCTGCACTTCTGGATACTATGTTTTGGGCTTATTGGACGCTCGTTGATTGGGATAAAAAGCCTAAATGCACTTGACTGTGTGCAGGCCCACACAGACTGTCCCAGAGACGCTCAAATGTACAGGTCTCAACCATGAGCACAACACGGACAGCGCCCCCGGTGGCTGCCTCTGTACATTCCTCATCTGAATGTGTAAAACGTGGTGTGATAAAATCCTCTATTAATGTGTATCAAGAGAATGGAACAAAGACAAAAAATGTTACTTTTTAAATTATTATCATTATTATTACTCTACTCTTGTCTAACTTTGTAAAAAAAACAAAAAAACTGCTGATCGACCCGGCATACCTCAGCAGACTTACCCCATCTTGGGCACAGACAAGCTTACGATGGGGACTTGAGGTTTTGGATAAACTATTTTTAATTGTGGTTGAAGCAATAGACTTTTTGAACTTTGAATTGTGCATGGCTGTGTCTTGAGTGTAAAAAAAATGCAGTTTGGGAACTGGACTGAAATAAAAGACGACAAAAAAGACAGTGGCTCTTGTTTTCTAAAAAATATTTTAAAACAAGTTAAAGTAAAAACAAACAGTAAAAAAGATTGTGTAATGCAGAGAGCTCTGCCCCTGTAACAATAGGAATGGTTCAATTTGTGTAAACAGCATTTGACAAAAATGTAACACAAAAATAACAAAATAATCTTTAAGAGGCATGTGGTTTGGCAACAAGTGGTAAGAATGTCAAGAGTCCATTTGTTTTGGTGGTGGGACGACACCAAGCTGCACTAACTAAATAGTTAAGGCTCTATATTTGGACTGTTTCCTAAAACAGACTAGGAATGGGACTAATGAAGGTTCCACGGTATGACCAGAGTGTATTTCTATCTCGATTCTCTCTCCTTAGTTACTGTTGGTAACTGTTTAGATCATCGCCAGCCATTTGTTTTCTACCCATCTTCCCACAATTAGTGAAAGAGCCCTGCCAATACTGCCAGCAGACTCTTCAATTCTGAAGTATTGGTACCTCGAGTATTTTTTTCGATTGACATTTTGAAAGTACCATGAAACTCACAACTGCCAACCACAAACCTCCAGTTGGAGAAATCTAACAAAAATGTGCATCAGAGTTAGTGTAAATATGGAGGAAAGTGAACCGAGCAGCAGCATTGCCCACACTACTTAAAAACATGGAAATGCATTTCACTTTTTTACCAGAATTAGCAAGTACTTGCCTTTTACTCAAGCTAGAGGAGTCTTTGGTGTGAAGCAAAAGTTGTTTTATCTCTACTTTTACTTAAGTACAAGTGGTTTTGCCAACTCTGCATTTTAATTTTGTGGTTTAATATTAGTTATTGTCCCGCCGCTAACTCCAACCACCCAAAGCTAGCAGTTTGACAGGCTCACTGGTCCATGAGAGGAGGCTGCAGCAGTGGTTAGGGCCGTACTAAAGTCTCATAGTCCCTTAGTGATCGGTTATAGCGCAGTGAGCTGAGTCACAGTCACAATCTTCAGGCTGATTCTGCCCGGCATCTCGTCTGCCATCTGACCGCCCTGTTTCCTCAGCTGCATGACCTGAGGCTCCATGCTGTCCTTCACAGAGCCCGACAGCATCACCTGCCCCATGAACTGGTCCTTCACAGCGTTACTGTTCCAGATCTGCCAACAACAAGCACAGGGGTCACAAACTCATCGCTTATTGATCCTGCATTACGTCTACTTATAAAGCTGTGGTACCTAAATTCGATACTACAAAAAATAAACAGTTTGGTACCATCACTAGTTTTGGCTCTGTCACATAATTTCAGTTTTTTGGACATAAAATGGAAATGGAAAGGACCACCCTCACTCAGCTTTCTGCCCGAAGTGAAAATAGTGACTCACAAGGCTCTTTCTCATATGTTTTCTGATGAACACAGCATGTTGAGGTCTGAATTGTTCACAATATTTTATTTTAAAGATTTTCTGCTGGTACAAACAATATGGATTCTTTATGAAAAAATAGAGTAAGAAACCCCAGCTTTTAAACATTTATTGCACTAGTAAATTATACATTGAAAAAACGGTGATAGCTACATCAGACCCGAAAAATATTAGCAGTGGTATTGGTAAACAGTAAATGTGTTTCACCTGCACAGTGATGGGTTTCCTCGGTTTCTTCCTGTAGAAAATACCACTGACGGCAAACTCTGGCTCTAACGTGTCTTTCTTGATGGGGGATCTGACAGACTTTCCTTCACAGTAAATGATCACATAGGGGTCTGCGCCTGCACCACAGGTCAGTAATAAGGCAAGAGTTAGTGAAGTTACTTGGTTATGCAGTAGTTATAATAAGTTAAATTGAAGCCGTACCTCCGCTCGAGTCCTGGTTCTCCAGCCCCTCTGCTGCGTGGATGTAGACGTGACTCAACACTTGAGGATAACCAACAAACGAACTCCAGCAGCGTACTTGAGGTTTGTCCTCTGTCAACTCCCTGCAGCAACACACAGCATTTTGTTTTGAGGATAAAACACATTAGAATAAGAAAAAGAGGTCTTCAAGAATTTCTTATAAAAATCACCGTATGTTAAGAACAATTAACTAAGAATTATGAATCTCATTTTTAAGCAGCAGTGTGTAAATGTGAGACGTACTTGCAGCCCGAGTCCAGGTCTGTGAAGATACGGAGCATGTAATCCCCGAGGGTCACTGGTTTGAAAGTGGTGGGCAGGATCACGTAGCGTCCCTGTGGGAGGTCCACCCTCATGAACACTGTGCGGGCATTTATGTACGTCGAAGAGCCGACATTCTGCTGTGTTACTATGTCGTGTAATCGATACTTCCTGTTCAGTTCCACCTAAAATCACAACAAAGGTCATGTTTTAAATGAATCATCATTTATGTATATGTGCGTGTGTGTTTTCCTCCAACGATGCATTTTTTTTTTAAAGTAGCAGCTACATAAACCATTATTTTTTATGTAGGTGCTACTTTATAATATAAGATTTTGACACATTATTTTATTCTAATAGTATTAGTTGTCGTTAAAAAGGTTGCCAATTTTAAAGTTATTGTATATTTAAACCCATCTGAGCAGTACTGATTTGGTAAATGTCATGCCCTCTGGTGGTGAAACAACTAGAAAACAGTAGGTACTGGTGTCTGATCTGAAAAAAAATGTTTTTGGAGCATCAGCCCTAAAGCAATGTGCCATACCTTGAATATACTGTATCCAACAGTGAGATTTTCTCCTTGGCCATATTTCCTGTGAATCTTCATATCTTTTTGCTGCAGAGAGATCAGGACCTCATCGACCTCCTTTGTCACATCAAAAATGTACTATACCAGAAACAATGAACAAGTTAATACAGTTTTAACCAACGTGGCCACTTATTAACAGGTGGTGAATAGAGTCAAACACCTGTGGGTTCTGTAGAAATGTTGGTTTGTAATTTGCACAGCCGCCACTGCGGTTCAACAGAGGGTCTGCATTCTTGGTCCAGCTCCCAAAGTGCACCACCTCATGCCATGTTTTGTGAATGCTGATAACAGAGGTATTGATGAGGCGACACACATCTGCGTCTGTGAAGAACTTGCACCAATCTGAAAACGCCATCCTGTGGACACCAGTGCACAGTACACTCCGTTAAGAGACTTAAGATTCAGGCTGCAGCAGTTGAGCAGTGTCAGCCCCAGCCATTTTAATCTATGCTTTCATTCTAGATGCAGTATATGGCCTAATGGATGAATTTAGACACATTTATTCCCATTTTGCTCCTTTAGGATCATTCTCGTTTAGAGGCTGTTCAAAGTGAATGCTTGTTCAATGTCTGGTTAGACAGCTCATCTCCAGCTTTCCAATTTAACTCAATGACTCAATAATGCATTCTTTTACAAAACTGACATCTGGTTTTGGTATTGTTTAGAGCTAGGAAAGTCCTTGCTTAGACCAAGGACCAAATATTGAAGTTTGGGGACCATTAATGTCTCAAATTAGCAAATTAGATGTAATTCATTCAAATTTTCTTGGGAGACAACCTCACATTGTCTGTTACAGGTTTCCTTCATTAAAGCACCATGTAAAATGCTAAAAGTTAAGTTGCCTTGAAACTCTAGAGATGTGATTTCTTATCGTACCAAAACTCTCCATCGTCAGCCACTGTGATGCCAAGGTTGCCTCTTTCAGTATCGCCAACTTTGGCCCACTCTTCAGAGCTGGTAAAATAAATACAATGTTACTAATCAGGAAAAGTGGTATGCATATATACAATGTAAATTTAATGTCTTGCATTGTAAAGAACAATGTGACAGATGTGACATATTAAAGAAAGGTATTTAAAGTCTTTGTAGTTTAGCCCCCTGTGGTGTTGAAAACTAGCACATGTGCTATAACTTACAGCAATGCATCTGGCTCATCCAATGTTCTTGGATCCAATGAGCTCGTTATGTTCATATTAAATAAATGAACAAACAAGTTTTACCTACTTATCTGATCTATCTACTGATCATATTTTCAAAATTAAAAAATTGGACATACATTGATGGCGAAGAAATTATAATCATCATTTACATGATACAAGCTCATGTAAATTGTACAATCATAAATACATCTACAGTAGTATTTCTATTGTGAAATGTAGTAGAGTATGAGTCAACTACTGTATACATTAAAAATATCTGTTTGTGTGTCGCCTCACGTGTCGCTCCAGGGTCCCTTCCACTCAGTCTTTCCCCAGGGGTTTCTCATGCGGATCATGGGGATGGTCTCGTTTTTAAAATAGGCCAAGAATCCGTGACCGAGCCGCACATTCTTCACTGCCGTCACAGAGTATGCGTGACCCTTCACCAGACCGTTGCCCATTTTCAGTTCAATTTCATGTGGTTGAGCCTGACAAAAGAGGGTACAAGTAATTAAGTCCAATATTGTGTGCACTTAGAAAATTCTAAACTAATATATACAATTAATGGAGGTAAGGTTTGGCCTTCTTAATGCAGATGTTTCAGATTCAGATTCATTTATTTGCCATTTGCAGTAAAACCAAATTGGAAAAACTGTGCAAGACTACCCCAGTGTGCACCAGACGACACACACCAGAGCTCTCGCCACGGCGCCATCTTTACGGCGCCATGCGTTTGACCACCCATCACACATCAGGGCTTTTTCCAACAATGAAAAGTCTTTTAAACAGTCATTTTTACGAGAGGTTATTACAACTAGTTTGCATTAGCTAGACAAAACAAGAATGAGCATTATCAATAAATCGGCCTGATTACAAGGTATGTATAAAAATAGTATATAAAGTATTAGTATCATAATAGGGTAGAATCAAGCAAAAGCTACTGTAGCTCCTCTACATATAAAATAGATAAATAATTCTTTACTTTTGTTATGTTGAGCTTTCATAAATATACATTAAATTGAAGCGTGGCTTGCTGGTCCAGTGCAGTGATGAAAGAATACGTTATAGAGACCTTGATGGAACAGCTGATGATGCCTCCTCTGTCGTAGACTTTCAGCAGATCTGTGAACAGCTCGTCTTGTTTCTTTTGGTCTTTGGCAAAATCTCCTGCCTCCAGATCAATAGCCTCAGCCACAGCTCCACTGAAATCCACCACTGCATCCCCCGTGTTTCCTCCCTCCAGCGACTCATAGCAGCCTGACAGCCTGGGGCAGAAACAGTACTTTAGTTGCTGTAGTAAATTACATCTTTTCAACTTGTGGCCGGCTAAAAAAGGCCTCAAACAAGTGATAAAAAGTCCACCACATATCATTACAAAAATTATTATCTTACTTTGTCTTTTTTAAGTAATCTTTATTTTAATATATGTGACTGACTTGGCATAGGCCTTTTCCAGAAGCGCACTCCAGAACTCATTGTTGTCCTTGGAATGGCAGTAGATGAGCTCCCCGTTGATGGTGGGCAGCCGGTCATCCACCACTACGTCCACCCACTCCCCAAAAATCCAAAACTGGAAGTGGAAGATGCCTGCATAGTTCTCTGGGTGTTTGGGGTCCCACTCCTGCTCCTTCCAGTCTGGGATCACCTGAAACACCAGGAGAATGCGGATGTTTGACCCGTGTCACATAGCCTCAGGGGAATTCCACAGACAGTTCATAATATATCTTAGTTGCTCTTAACAACTATATAGTATGTATAGTTTAAACTGTGTTACCACCTACATGAGTGTTTAGTGATGTCTAACTGAAACTCCACTATCCAAATTACTAGGGATGCACCGATACCACTTTTTTTCACAACCCGATACGCAGACCTTAATGAATACTTGCCGATACCAAGTACCGATACGAGTACTGCAATGTGTTATCCCTGGAAATTCATAAAACTAATACAACTGAAATTAAAAACAATTCAGTTGTTTCAATTATTTCAACAATAAGAAAATGCTTTAACAATGACAACATTTTAGCAATCGTTTTAACAGTCAACAATAAGAGCAACTGCCACTGACTTTTCTTGCTTCTCCAAAGTTTGTTGTAGAGTTGGTTATTTTTTAGCTCCGATACTAGCTAAAGCCTGTGTGTTTGTGAGTTTTCAAATGTATTAACAAGTTGCTGGTGTTATACGTGTTTGTTTTGGACCCATCTCGTGACAGTTTTACCTTACACAACGTACAGTCCGCTTTATTCTTGTCACTCGTTTACTTAAAAAAAAACAACTGCCATACCGCTTGGAGATAGCTTGCTTTCTTGCTGCAGACTTTCGGAGATCACCATGGCAACACGTTGTGACGCTAATGTAAATTTAAAATGTGGGTATCGGGTCCTATGGTATGAGTACAAGTACAAGCTTATGGTATCGACCCAATACCCAATACCAGTATCAGTGCATCCCTAAAAATTACAACTTCTGGGGCCGTATTCCTAAAGATTCTGAGAGTCCTCTCAGAGAGCTCTTATCTTAACCTAAAAACTCCTAGCTAGGAGTCTTAGCTTAAAAGTTATTCCAGAACACTCTTAGAGAACTCTGAGCAAGGAATTGACAACAACTTTTATCTTAGTGAGGAGGCGTGGCCGACCCCGTTGCTAGGTATGAGTCATCATTTCAGACGCTGTGATTGGTTGATCCTAAAAGTTAGAACAAACATATTTTTGATGATAATAGGCAAAATAAGGGCCCTAAAATGGACAAACTCAATCATGGAATCTAATCTTAGGAACACTGTGTTATTGTAAATAATAACCAAAAGCTATAAAGTCAGATATATCAATGGTACATAAATACTGTGAATAGTAAAGTTAGACTTATACACCATCATCAGAGCTTGCTCAGCACCAATTTATCACACATAATACGTATATATCATGAGCACTTATAATTTTATATATATACATATAATTTAAATATTACTCTATATATAATATACATGATAAAGAAAATTATTATTATAAATATTATATGGATAAATGATGATAATGATAACGTTAGGATTAGTAAAGGCTGTGATATGTATAGACTTAAGGAATTAAGGAAACAATATTAATATAGAAAGATATTATACATACACTGTACAAATCAAGTACAAGGGAGCTTAAAAGTCTTATCCTCTCCCACTCCTTTTTGAGCTGGATTGTTGTTAATAAAACAAAACTGTATATTTGTACTTCTATTCTGTTGTTGTTTTGTTTGTTTTGTCCTTTTTTTTCTTGTTTGCCATGGCTCAAAATAAAGTATTCATTCATTCGTACTGAATGTGTGACAATTTAGGACCACTTTTTCCTCTCTTTCAACTTTTACCATTTCTACTTACTTTTGTGTAACAAAGGTAAAATGGATGAGGTGTTATTGCTGACCAGCCAATAAGAAGCTGGTCACATGATTGACTTTTAAATATACCACAAACATGATTCCTGCTTGAATCTGTAGCGTTTCACTGATTCACTGTCATCCAGTGTATAGAATATTTCTCCTGTCTTCACCGTCCACCATTTTGTGCTCTTAGGGAACTTTTAAGTCGCTAAAAGTCCTCCTCTCAACTCTTAAGGGATCTCCCCTTAAGAGCACTCTTAAGAGCTAGGATTTTTTAGGAATAGCTTTTATCTTAACTAGGAGCTACTCCTCACTTTTAGGGGAAATTCTAAGAGTTGGTCAAGATTCTAAGAAAATTCTTAGAATTTGGCCACTAGGAGCAACTTTTAGCAGTAAGAATCTTTAGGAATACGGCCCCTGACTTTTAACCTTACTTGACCACATAATTTACTGTTGTATTTCAAATGACATTCTTGTCTAAAAAAAATTCCTTATTATAGGTTTGAAAAGTAAGAAACTAACTGACTTATGTTTGTATGTATGTTAGAAGAATTTGATTCCTAAATGTTCAGAATACAGAAGGGTTCTTATTAGTCTAATTTGATGTTTGGTGCATGTCAGGTCACTTAAAATGTAAGATTTATAGGTGGCTTTTAATCAAACATGTTCTCACCTTTTTCCACAAATTGTCCTTCAATGCCAAACAGGAACAGGCAGCCACAAACCAGCAGTTTCCCACAATTCCCTGGTTCAAGTCATGTGAGCTAATGCCTTCGACAAACAGATGTGGCAAGTCACTGATCTCCTAGAACATGTACAGCAGTCATTTGGTAAGCTTTGTACACTTCACTTCACAGCCAGCTTGTATGTGAAATTACAATATGATCAAGCACGATTATGCATAAAAACAAGGACACCCCTACCCCTGGCCTCTTCCACTCCACTCTTCCTGGTGGAGGTTTCCTAAAGTAGAGAGACGCATTGGTAGCGGGGAATTCTGAGTCTTCGAACAGCTCCTTGTCTCTGATGCAGGCTTTCTTCAGCTCATAGTAGTGCTGGTTCTTGAACGGAGTAGCAGACGAAAACATGGTCCTAATGGAGAGGGTTCAACAGCTGTGGGTAAGAAACCAGACATGGATTTAATACAGGAAACACTTAGAACGACAGCCACAATGGGAAGCATGGTAAGTACTAATTAGCGGTTTATAAAAGGAGGAGTATTCAGATCGGCTCTCATATTCACTTCAAGATAGACTTTTGAATAAAACAGTAATATCAATAGAAGTTTGCATGTAATCAATTGTTAAAAGCTAAAGTTAATTGTATCGCAAGATGAAGTCTGTAAGGTAGTGTTTGGTTTGGTTAGCCTACACTGCAAAAAGTGATAAAGAATAAGCCAAAAATGGCCCAAATTTGGCAACATGCACCTTAATTTGTGCACATTCTGACAAGCTTAAAACAAGATTTGCCAATGGAACAAGCAAAATTATCTTATTTTAAAACAATATAAGAAATGTCTTCCCTGGAATGAGAAAATAAAGCAACAGATCTTGAAATAAGACTACCGGTAAAAGGCTTTGTTCCATTGGCAAATCTTGTTTTAAGTCAGAATGTACTCAAATGAAGATAAAAACCATTTGATTCAATTATTACCTATATTTGATAATTGTTTTCAGTTTATGCCTTATTTTCAAACTTTCCAAACGTGTAATTACATTTAAGTTTACACATTATATACACAGATAATTCCAGGTTGAACAGGTTTTTAAACAAGAAAAAGTCATGATATTTTTCACCAATATGAGCAGCAGAAAGCCTCAAGCATAGCCGGAAATATAATAACAAAGCCAGTTAGTCACCAAGGAAATGGATTGTTTTGAAATGTCATACCCCCAACACGCATCTATAGGCATATTTAAACAGAGAACCTACTTTCCAAAAAGACATGTTATTATACAATCAAAGAATAACAAAACAAAGACAAAATTACTGTAGTCACTGCACTAAAATATATTGTATCAGAATAGAAGCTTACCATCTATCTGCCGTAACAACCAGTTCAAATCACAGCCTTAACTCATTTGAGGAAGACAAACTGATGTAAATGAAGTTCCTCACGGATGAGTGAAGTTATTTGAATTGAAATGAATTGAAAATAACTTTAAAACAACATCACAATGTGTCCAAACTTCTTCCGGGTCCAAACCCTGCGGTATGTGAGCAGGTATAGTTGGCTTCCTATCCCTCCCACACACTTCAACATGTGCACACAGCCACACCCAAGTGTTGTCCACAAGCTAATGTCACATATTACCTTTTACCATGGATTTATAGCCTTTTACTGATAAATGGACATTCACACGTGTAACTCATTTCCTAAATACATGCTTAAAAGAATGAAGAAAGACAAAACCAAGTGACATGATCAACGTAATAGCTACTACAGATGTAATAACCAAATATTGAGACAGTTTCATCACATCCCAAACAAGAGGTTTGATTTAACATAAGTTACCACACATGTTAAATTCCAGTGCTGTGTTAACAGAAAACATAAGCTATTAAAATCTTACCCGGTTAAAGAACTTAAAAAATACATCCAGTACAAGTTAAAGACGTGTCGGTAATCCCATGCTGGAATTCTCTGTTGGCTTCTTCTCGTGTGTATTCGATCAAACTGGTTTGTTGAGCCCCTCTCTGCAGTGGGAGGGCTGGGTTTACTATGCACAGAGGGGGGAGGACACTGAAACTAAAGGCTCATGAAACAAGCAACAGGTGAGACAAGAGGAGGCCTGTCCCTTATCTGTGTGTGCTGATAAACTCTTAGTTTATCTCATGGATGTATTAGGTCTACTGTGTCATTTGAGGACGGCAGAGGAAATACAAATAATGAACTAATGATAGACCTTGTGAAAAATACAGTAGAAAGAAGAGCAGAATTATGATTATAGTGTAGAAATGTCAAATATTGTACTGTAGTTAGATACGTACAGAGAGAACGTCGTGGCATCAAACATATGGTTTCAATTTCAGTTGAAGCAGAGTCAGCTTTTGGGTAAAATGAGGACAGAAGAATGCCTGGGGCGAAGGCAAAGTTCATCTGTATACAGTACAGTATACAGTACACTTAATACAGTTTTGCCAACAGCAAAGCGAAACAACTCTTCAACAATGCTCCCATCACAGTCTGTATTCATGTAGAAGTATGGCCTCTGTTCCAAACTTCAAAACACCACATCCTCTAAATGCTGACATGAATGTGCCTCTTGTGGTTAAAACAATGTGACTCTGTGCTGTCATGAAACCACAGGACACGCACAGCTCTTTCACCACAGTTGGGATTGAAACACATTCTCAAAACATTCTCAACATTGTGTGATTGAGAAAAGCAGAGGGAAACGCGCAAGAAAGGACAGTTTTGCAGTGGCCTTCTTTACACACTGTTCATCCTTGACGTAACACGTGCAAAACTGAAACAAGTGCATTATAAAAGACAGAAAATTAAATACGTAATGTCGTGTGATGATGGAGCATATTAAAGCAGTTTAAAGCCGTTACCGTTGGTGCACATGGGCTGAGAGAAGCTGCTGGTCCCACACATGGATCTGCTTACGCACGAGCGCGAACGTAAACTGACGCACTGCTGTCACGTGTCTTTGCCAATCCCCGTAAAACTATAGTTTATTATGTCAACACTTAATACCAAAGCCCACGCATGGAGCTATTATGAGCCCACGGCATGAATTTTGCAGTAAAGCTATATTAGAAAATCTACAATACAAGTAATAGCAAAAGTAAACTTTTGGATTTTAATAAGGCTAGCTTCGGTAGACATCCAGCAGGGGGCAGCAAAGTGTTAGTTTGGCCCGTGTACGTGGGCAGTTGGCTGGTTTGTCATAGCTGCAAAATAGTTATATACTGTAAATTGTGTGATAAAAATGTCCTGTATGAATAAGTTGCCATTATATTATACGTTTAGTGTATCTTCTGACAATCTGGACCATCTCTTTAATCTAGGGCTACTTTGTTTCCATGGTGATGATTGAGTCCATTGTTTGACAGAATATTCTCTGGGTTGGAAAATACATTTAGGAAGACGGGAGCAGCACACCAAGACCGAATCTTAGCTATTTTTGCAAGATGTGTGGGTGTAGAGAATATAATTGACATGTCGTTTGAATTTATTTGAAATTGTTTGAATTAGACACAAGACAAGGGAGATATAATCCAACCATTTTAATTGTAAAAGGATATTGGTTAATACATCGAATGAAGCATTGATAAGCCACTGGGACAATGCAAAATACCACCAAAAATTACATTGAAAAGTTTCCAAGAAAAAGTGATTTGAAATGTTTACATATGAAAGATCTGGAAGGAGCCTATTTACACAAGTGTCTATCAATCAAGATAGAGGACACGTTATGTGACATTACCCATTGTGTTTCCTATCAAAAAATTGTACTCAAAAAAGGCACCACTGTAGGTGATGAGCAAGATAGACAAGACATTTGTTAGACAAAGTAACAATTGATATAAATTAAGAATAAAATACAGAAAGGACAGTGTTTATTACATTGAACAGAGACAGGAAATTATAAAAAATAAAACCATAATATAATTTAGTGGCCTGTCCCTGCTGTAGTCTGCTGGTATGACAGCGCCCTCGTAAGGAAAAGCTGTTCATTACACTTGCAGCACCAAAGATTTGGGTTGACAGTGAGTAAAACACAAGACTGTAAATATACAATCTATGTAAAACACTCAGACATGCAACAGAACAGTCACAACAGAACGGCAGGTCAACATTAGTTCAAGCTCATCTCTTGGGTCATTTTGTCGGTATAAAAAAAAGGTCTCGCTATCACATATATTAAAATTTCAAAATAATTTTGTATCTAAATGCATAGATTTTCAATCAATTGCTACTATGCAGCTCCCTTTATGGCAACAGTGGTCACACAATGCATCGCTGACCAGAGAGTAAAGTGTCAAATTGCTGTGGTCTCTGACTTTGCTTCAGTGGTGTCAATTTAAATCCCTACTCAAAACCTGAGGGGTATTTTAGAGCCAGACAGACATACTCCTAGTTTGGTTCCAGTAGAGATAGAAAATATTGTTGAGAGGCTGGTTAAGCATTTTAATTTTGTTAAAACTGTATAGAAATCCCAAACAATATCCTTCATATAAATTAATACATTATATAAAATTAAAATAAAATAAAAACACAGACTTAAAAACGATCTTGTAATCTGAAACTACTCCATGCAAAATGAGAAATTCCCAACTCCCTGAATCTACCAGCTGTCCAATGATTGAAAGTGAAATATCATGCATAAATGTCCCCAGAACCACAACTATAAATATTAGTCTAAATTATACTTTGGCTTTAAGAACCAGTTTCATCCAGGCATGAGACCTTTTAAAAACACATCCCCACAGTCCAAGAGGGAATAATATACTACTACTGCATGTGGTAAAATGGCCTTATTCCTTTGGTTGTTCAAACACCATTAGGTCCAACATGCTCATAGTATCACTCTTTTCATCATGCACTACACTTATGGAAATTAGACTATGTATGAAATAATGATTGTTTCGGGCTCAAAACAGAGGAAACACCAGCACAAACCCATTCGCAGAAAATGCCAATCAATCCATACAATTATTACTTTTGATACCGGATTCCTGCCAGTATCCCACACAACTTCTAATAGATCATGGTGCCTCTTCTGTTTTAAAGATACCCTGTAGTTGTGTCTGCAGTTATTTGTCAAACATTACTTAAGAAATGGACGGAAAAACAGTGAAAGACGATGGGCAGTGATGCAGTAGTTCTACACAGTATATATACACACAGCGGAAAGGAGACGGCGACTTGCCTCCATTTCATTGTTGAGCGGAAGAACACAACCAGTGACAAAGTCTTAACAAACACCCTTTAAAACATCCATTTGCTGCTTGGAATGAGTAGTGGAAAAGTTTAAAAACGTGCCATGTAACAAAAGTCGAAATATTTTTTACAACGTGAAACCTGCCTTAAGTGAACAGTGGTATCCTCTAAAACTGACTAATCCACAAAACTTGAAAAACACCAGTACTATAGCAAGTGATTAGTGTAGTATTGTTTCAACAAAATGTTTAAAAAAAGGACAGTGGTAATTCACAAGCAGCAAACAGTAACATGGCCCCGGTGAATACAGAAAGTAGTAAGTTTCCAAGACGTCAGATGAAGTTTCAAAAGTAAAAACAAGGAGTCTTCAGGGGCAGAATTCAGGAGATGTGCCGTTACATAGATTCTCCCTGAGAGTCCTCATCATCCAGAGACAATGGAAGATAGAGGTCCTGAAAAGACAAAAAACGTGATGTTAAAGCAGCCGTGAACTTGAAGTAGTAGAAGAAGAAAGTATAGAGCAGTATAGGAGGAAGCGGGCTGGGTACCTTCTGCTTGTTGTTGGGGCCTGGGCTGGTGGGGCTGGAGGTGGGGGAATGCTTAGAAATCGGGGTGGAGAGTGGACTGCTGGAGCCCGTACCATTAGCTGAGGGTCACGCAGGACAGAAGAGCGGCAGAGAGAGGAAGGGATATGGAGAGAATAGGCACCAAGGATTAGAAAAGGGGTCTGACAGAAGTCCTGAGCATTTGTCAGCAAATGATACCTTGCTGTAGAGTTAATGTCCACATTTTTATTTACAAATATTAGAAAAACAATGAAAACAGTAATAGGTCAAGGAAGAAGAAACTAAAAAACATCTGGCGCCTACAGGGTTAGAAATTTGATGTGAACCAAACAAAAGACGGTGCCCAGAAAAACTTTGCAAGCAATTGAAAAACATAAATATTTACTTTAAAAATAAAAATAAATTAAAAATTGCATAACTTTGGCTAATTCATAAAAAACAAAGCCAAACCTCCTTCCTAAAAAGTTGGGAAAAACATCCCAGTACTTTTGTTCCCACTTGCATGTTCCTAAAGTCATTCAAGGTCCTTTTTCTCTGCTCTTAGCTGTTGCTAGGACTCAGCTACTATTGGACAACCGTTTATATAAACGAGTGGTGCGGCGTTTTGCCCATAAAAGATGAAAAGATCTCAAGACACTATACGCCAGATGGTTTGTGTAAATTCAAGCAAAGTGGGAAAGCCAAAGATAAAGCTTCATTGTCAACTCCATTTGAACCATTCAGAAAGACTTTTCTAACTGAAAAAGACTTCAGCCTCTTGCCAATACTTTGTACTAAGTTAAATTAGAGATTTCCGTTTGAGTTATACAAATTATGAAAGCGCTCATCTGGCACGTGGTCAAAATAACCCAGTTTTGCCATTTATGAAACACTTTTGGCCGACTCACTATGTCATAATACAAAAGGAATGCACTTTATGTTGTGGAAGTTTCAAAAGAATCATCTCCAATGCTTTACTTTAATCTCCAAATTGTCTTACTGCATTATTAACAAACCAGAGTTGGACAACAGGTCTGACCTCTGACCAGAACACAAAAGAGCCACTAATTTGACATATTTCTTGTCTTTCACATCTTTAGCCTGCCATCTGCCCTCATCAAGACCTCGCCTCCCCCCATCAATAATCAATAAGATTTGTTAGAAAAAGGGCCCTGCTGTAGAGAGTGACCCGCCCCCAGTCAGCAGCTCAGTGTGTGAACCGAGTAATGGCTCAACATAACATTTGTCTGTATTTTGGTTTGGCAGACACTGACTGAGACAACAACTTTTTTGTTTGTGCCTGAGAGAGATCCAATTTCATAGCACCAACTGCTCAGTCGACTAATGCTGCTATAAAACCACTCTGGAGTCAGACAAACATTGTAACAGAGGTATTGGGCAGTTATGTGAAGATAAAAGCAGTCGTTAGCATTAAACATTTAGCCAGGAGACATCCCATAAAGTGATTGTGCAGCCAAGAATCTATTTTTAGTTGTTTAATTTACAAATTGCTCGAAGATGCATTCTCTTTGTTTAGGTTTCATGCATTATTTATGATTACGGTTTGAAGAAAAATGGGAAGAGATAAAAGTAAATGTCTTAACAAAACTACAATGCTCAAATGAAAGTGGTTCAATGGTTTACTCACTGGATTCAGCAGGAGACTTGCACCGCCGTATAGGAGCAGGACTCTTCACTGAACCCCGCTGACCTTTAGGAGTCTTCATCACTCGACATTCTGTGGTGAAGGAAAAACAGAAATTATCAAGAAAGTAAACCTAGTTAGAACTGCAGCAAATACATGCTTTACGCCATATATCCCAGCCACTCTTTGCAAAAATTAAACAAAGTTAGACTCAGGTTAGCCGTGTAACAAATTTGAGCATTTTTCAGGAGGTAAACTTTTGAACAGGTCATTGAACTCAATCATATTGCAACTCGGTGGGTAAGGACAGGAGCTGCACTATAAATGAAAAAAAAAAAAAAAAAAAAAAAAACATTTTTGTGCAATTAGCAAATCAACAAGACTGCAATCCTTAAAGTCCTTTGTGCACATTTACTGACATAACAAGACAATAGTACCCTAAAACATTAATCATTTTTGTCAACTAATTTGATTCTGTAGTAAATTTTTGCAAATGGAATTGATATCTTTAGATGGATACTTTATTAATCCGTGAGCCACATATTATTGTTTTAATCATTCCAAGAGAAATCATTTGTGTTCCAACTTGACTGCAAGATAGGGCCCTTTTCCTTAATTATATGGGAAATATTGCTTAATTGATTTTCTTTTCAAACTTTGCTGCGGTTTTTATACATGTACGCATAGTAATCCAGCAAATACTGTAGATATTAGCTAAACTATCTAATCTATTTAGCCGCCCTTGTAGATGTATGCCACTTTCAATATTCCTTCAGCATCATCTTTTTCTGGGTCATTGTTTAAGCAGAGCAGACAGACTCCAGACATTGCCACTCCTATGTCCCATCCCCATGTTTCTTCTCCCACTATACAGTAATCTATTTCCAATCCTTCCTCAATCAAAGCTAATTACACCATTGGCCCTGTGGTCTCCTCTGGGGACACTCCTCTTCCGGCAGCTCTCCTAACCTTCACACACTGGTGGTTTCAGACGTGCATTGTGGGTCTATTGTTTTCAAGGCGTGGCACAGTAGTTATTTGACAGTACCTCACAGTGGCAGCTTGTCGAGTCTGCTTAGCCCTCTCATAGGAGCACCCTCTTTTACTCAGCTTCAATTGATGCTGTCAGCACTCGCACCAAACTGCAGGTGCTCCACCCCGTCTTGTGTTTTACAGTGAACAATAACCACATGGGACGAGGGTCTATTTTTGTCTCCATCTCAAACACCTTTGTATGAAATAGAACTTGTTTTCTAACCCAGTTTTCAGTGACAAAAATTGAAAGAATAAAATGGAGACTAGAGTTTACAGTTACTGAAAGAGGAATTCAAACTTGTTATTTTTTTTTTTATGCCCAGAAAATAAAACAAACCGATTTCAAACAAAAAACCACTTTGGAGAATGAAAGAGCATTTGTTTGTCTGTGAGAAAAGCTTCAGGGCTTTTATTCCCAGTTGGACCGTCTGAGGGGAAAAATACTCGTGCTGCGTGATATCAATGTGCATGGCCATATCCCAAAAGACTGCTTTGGTTGGAAATGTCAATAGAGAAATCATTATCCATTTACAATTTTCCTACATTTATTCATTAGGGATGGGACAAGTCACATTTCGACATTTAGACATGAGATTGGAGGAATGAGAAAAAAAATCCCCAAAAATTAACATGACATGAAAAATTACATTATGACAACAAAAAACCTATTGGTTTGACACAGCTGTCCTCACTTTTCTTTAAGTGACATTTGCTTTCCTCAAGGAGAGTTGTTACAGGCTTTTTTTTTTTACTCCTTATTTCTCAGCATTACATTAAAATGAAAGCAAAAAAATACTGAAATATAGACTGATGCCCCACAAATTAAGCAGCGGTTTAGAGCCTTAGCCTGAGGTTAGACCAAATTAAATAATTTGGAGTGAGTTCCTGTGGGAAAACCAGATTAATAAGATTCATTGAAATTCATTTTGTGATAAAAAAATAAATAAATAAAATGATTAGATATTCAAAAGACATTCCTTGATATTCAGGGTGGTTTAAAACTATCTAACATGATGTACAGCCATACTGCACCGTGGGAGTCAGCAAGGAGTGGCTTTACATTTTCCCTGTGTATTTCTCTGCTCTATCAGCACCTCCAGATCAGCTGGCCTAAACCTGTCACACACACAGGATTAATGACTCCTTCTCCCACCTTTTCTGCTCTTGCTGCTGGCTACAGATAACATGCTTCTCCCTGTGTCTCCTACCGCCCAGAGACCTTAACGGGTTTAATTTGGCACAGATTATTTGCCACGTGCGGCGCTTGCTCCAAATATTTGTCAATCGCATTGACAAATATCATGCAGGGACATTTGATTTGTCCACAGCAATATGGTATAATTGGAAACAATGATAGTAATTTGCACTGGTAGTTGTATTGATGGTACTTAAAGATGAAAGACAAACATGAAAAAATAATTTACATTTAGTGAGATGAAGGCCTTTAGAAACAAAAGTGGACATATACAATAGATCATTGTGGCTTGACAGGCAGATTCTAAAGTCCCTGCGAGTCATTGCCGACTACATCAGTCAAGGTCAGGGAGTTTGCCAGAATTGATCTGTAGATCTTCTGTCGTTGGGCAGTTACATGTTCAGCTGCTTCATGAAACAAAAAAACGAAATGCTTACCATTCTCATCCAGAGAGAAGTCATCTTGCGCATATCTGAATTTCTCTGGCCCACATGCAATAAAGACATCATCATCACCAAAGAAATCCTGGAGGCAAGTAACCTGAGGGGATGGGGGAAAGAAAAACATGTTTTAGGGAAGGGTTGACATCACAAAAGATGTGTGACGTAGTTGAAATGACATATTCAGCTTGCTATTGTGATGTTAGAGAAATCATACAACCTTCTCATATTTAGATGTACTGATACGCAGCTGATGCTAACGCCAAAGCATCTACAGGGCATCTCACCAGCCAAGTTAATACGGCAACAACAAAGACATAAACATAAGAAGGTAACTTCTTCAGTTACAGCTTGGCTGCAGCATTTAACTTCCCAAGGGTCTTTCTCTGATGCAACAGCTGCTGACACAATATGGCCACTAGTGACAGGTGTCCTCCAATTGACAATGTACAGGCCTGTTTCCTTATGGTAAACTAAAGATGTGTTACACGTTGATTCAGTGATGGGAGCGAAGGTGTACTCTCCAATTTACTGCTTCAGGTTAGAATTCATCATACATTGAAAAAGGACCTATCAAAAATTTTAAAAATGGTAACTCCACAGAGAAAACACTAACAACTGTGAAGGACACCACTTTTCTATCAAGTCACATTAAAATAGCACCAGAATATCTTGTGCGATATACATTTGAACTATGAGTGGGGGATCATTTGGGAAAGGCCGCTCCCTTGCAGCTGCCCTGTTGGTCCTCTGCCCCGCTGCACAAGCGTTGAGTGTGTGCACTGGTGACTTTGTGTCGAGGCATCCAGCAGCTGTACCTCCCGGAGACTCCCCTAGATACACAGAGATGGTGTTTGGGCTCGAGGGATCAAAAGCTAATTGGCTTTCCAGACAGCCTTCACTTTTCAAGGATGCACATAGAGTGTCCATTGAGAACATTATCAAGATTATATTCAAGTTTGTGTTGTAAGAGGCACAATGTCGACACAAGGTCCATTAACTGTGCATCATAAGACAGACAATAAGTGCTTTTACAGGATAACCGGCCCAGAGCAACCAGCAGACTTACACTTAATAGCGTTAAGCACAAAGCTGATTAAATGGATAATGTGCTGCTACCTTAAACTCTATCGACATAAGATCCACTTGAACTTAGGATCCCCAGCTGTAACTTCTGACTTTGGGAAGAGCAATTAGTTCTACTGTAATTATAGTTTATATAATCTTCATTTGCTTATGCAAATAGTTTGGTGGACTTTCGCATTCGCTATACAATGGTCTTTCTTCACTTCATTATTTTACTTCTATGGATTTATGACTCAATTTTACTGAATTTTTGTTTTTAACCGGATTCACCATGTAAAGAACCAGATCTTCTTCAAAGCAACGATAGAACCCCACCACTAGAAGAAAGATACAGTGCAGAAAGGCTGGCTTTCTATAGAGACTTGGATATGCGATGGGCTTTCATATTAAAAAGGTCATCTTCCAAATAACACATGGCAACAGCCTTATGCAACAATGACCATGCAATTCATCTTAGAATTCTCGTGCACACATACCGTTAATGGTATGTGTGCACGACTCAAGTGATAATGTGATGAGTGAGTGGGTGGGTCTATGGGTCAGCTAGCTCAGTCCAGACCCATGGTGCCCACTGCCCCTTCAGCCTGGTATTAATCTCGGCCGCACCAGCTGTTCAGACAACATGATTCCTCAAAAAACCCACCCATCTCTAAACAAAGGTCTTGAATAATTTACCTCGACTATGGCCATAAGATATTATATGGACTGCCAAATGAAAGTCTCAAATGTAATTTCCAACATTATAATCATCAAGTATTTCTGTTCCACATAATCAGGCCAAACTAAAGTGGTTCAGTCAATCAGTAATGAGGAATGGTATTCCCTGTGCCTTGGAAATTATAACATGTATCAGTCTTAATGTAATGAGTGTCCAGTCTTAAACCAGACTGAACCAAACCAAGTAAACATACAACAAAACCAAACAATGCAACATGTAATTATTTTGCAGCACAGGGAAGCATGCACCTTTGTCAGTCTCACTTACAGATCAAACACACAAATACATTGTGTGTGCGTGTGTCATCTAGCTACCTTGCTCACAATTTTCACAAGCAAATGTTCTGGCTTTTTTAGACAGGAAGTGAAGGATGACCACCTTCACTCAGCCAATCCAATTACACTAATGTTTTTTAATGAACAGGATTAAGTTTGTAAAATGTACTTGTTAGACAAACAAAATGTTTCATTTGGGAAAGAATACACAACAAAGTACCAAACTTGTTGCTCTTTATAACCATTCTTACCCTAGACCCAATCCTAAAAAAACAAAACAAAAAAGCCGTATTGGCTGTAGCTATAGTCACAGCACCATCACCACTGTCACATCTTCAAACATTTTAAAAAAGGTGCTTGAGTAGGATGTGGGGAGATGAAATTGTGTGCACTTTTGTTGAAACACAAAGAGCTGTAAAAAAAGAACGGTTCAATAGCCTTTGCTTTGACGCCTCAGGGATATACAACACTCCTACACAGTCCGTTACAGTAGAGACACAGACCCAATCGATAGAACGGGCAATATTCAACCAAAGATACCCCCACAGTCTAGCACAAAACCACACAATTACATATTAGATTGGACTATTGCAAATATTATCAAAAACTGCTCCAACTACCAGAATGACCCTTGAATGAACCACATCTGGGAGTGGTCTGGATGTTGCCGGCGCACATGGCTTCAGACAGGCGGGCAAATCTGCATCGTCAGGGGCAGCAGCTGGTGCCTGGTGTTCTAGGCCTGAAGCTCCAACCAAATCGTCAAAGAGGAAATGGCCTCCGATTTTGGCTGACGGATGTAACCTCAATGTTATCATACCAGACTCATACTCCCCTGACTCACTTGTTGATGTGGTTTCAAAATAGATGCCCATGTACACAGACATAAGGCATAAAAGTGTATATAACTTGTTAATACAAATATTCAAACCACTCTTTCATTTTTTTCTTAGTCCTCTGCAGCCTATAGATCAGAGACATCCCACGATACGTTTTACTCCCAACATTTTGATAATGACAACTGTGTTTTTCTTTATTGACAAACACATGCAATAAGTAGTAATATTGTTTTATCAGTTACAGCTGTAAATTAGCATCTTCTGCTAAAAGCTGGTACAAAGCCCCTCCCCAGATTTGACTAATGTTTATTGCACACTATGGCTGAAATTAACAACTATTGACATATTCATAAACATATTCATAAACATTAAAATACGACGTGACCACTAGTTTCATTCTCCCAAAAAAAAAAAAAAAAAAAAAAAAATGATTATAGATATATACCTTATTAGATATACAAATATAATTCATGGCTTACTGGTTCTGGCTCAAATGTATAATAGCTGCTGCTTTACATGCGGTGCCACACCCCTCGCTCTGCACCGCGCTTAGCTCAGCGTGTTGGAAGCAGACAGGTTAAACCCCGGCATGACAAGCCCTCTCAGCACATTACAGAAACCATTGTCAAACAGAGTCTATCACCAACCAGCTTATTGCCATGACAACACCGACTGCAGCGTTGCAGTGAGTAGGAGCTCGACAGGAGACAAACCTGCACAAATCCGGTCATCACTGCTGGAGCCGCGATACTGCTGGTGCCTGCTTCTTCTAATCCAACAACAAGCACCTTTCCAACACTAGGGCTATGTCAAGAAATACTGAAGCCTTTCCTCCTTTTGTTCTTTTCAAAACCAGGGTGACCTTGTGCCTAAAGCGGGGGCACAATCACTGCTGCAGTCTGGCTTTGTGTCCATGTATGGAAGAGGAACTACTTCAAATGAAAGCCGTATCTGAGATGATCATTTAACGTCTTCCAAAAAGGGGTTTTCGATGTGTAATTAGAGGTGCATTCGCTATTGGGGAATTCAAGCGCACAGTAATCAATGGATACTCGATCTGATTGTGTCAATGGAGGCAGAAATACAACGTGTCTTCAAGCAATAAATTAAATCAATCCTATTTAATGACACCAGTACGGTTTGTCAGATAGTGTATCTTTTTGGTGTGTGTGCACGCGGCAATGATAATCACATCCCTTCAGCAAATATAAAATGGTCCTATTGGCCACGAGAACAAAAATGGCTCCTGAAACTGGCAGCCCCACCCTTTTCTGAAAGTAAAAAAGGATGTAGGATGGTCATTATGTGCTCAATGGTAACAAAGACAGCAGGCCTGTCCTGTAAAAACTAACAAAATAGACACATCAAGGAATGGCATGGCTTTGTCAATATTAAATATCGAATTAATCTTCTGAGCACGCATGTGTTCATCTCTAAATACTGGGGACTATTATGAAACAGTCACACCCAAACCAGGAAAATATGTATTTAAAAAAGGTTTATTTCTATAGTCACACCCACTTTCTTCTGACAGACAAGTCCACACCAGCTGGGCTTCAGTCTTTGTGCTGAGGATGCGGTCTCCTAGCAACCAGCACCAGGAGCCGAAAGGGAAGAAGATGGAGAATAGACCAAAAAGAGCAGCAGCAGCAGCATGGGTGGAGAGTCAGTTTCACTGGGAGGGACATTTACTGCATCATTACTACAGATGCTCGAACCAAACCTTAGCTCCAGCTCAGAGCAGCTGCAGTCTGCCTCAGCACAAAGATCAAGGCAACATATGCACACCTTTACTAAAAAAAAACCATGTGACTTTACCTTTACCATGGAACCCCATCTCTGCTCTGTGCCACCAACATCCTTTTCAACTGCAAACACATCTTGCAAGGTTTAAATTCTTTAGGTAATAGTAAATCTGTGTATAGTCAAGATGAGAGCAACTAGCTGGCTTTTCAAAGTTCAGCCTTCTATTAAAAATGCATGGCATCATGAAATGCCAACTGCACATGTTCCACGAGGAGGAATGACCCCCTGCCCAACCAAAAAAAAGGAAAAAAAAAAAAAAGAGTGCCAGACAAGTGTACCCCTTGAGGAGAGCATTAAAATCAATCCGCTCCATCATATTAGCTATACTCCCTTAAAATAACACAAGCCTAATATAGACAGCACCTAAAGGGGCTCAGCAGGACACCTCCGCCCTCCTGTCTCCCCTCCTGAATTATACAGAATACAGTCTCGACATGGGGATCAATGAACATACAGCAATTTAACAGGCAAGTAACAGATGTCCATCCAAACTGATAACCGTGTAAGCCTATTATGCTCCTAGTAATGCTCTTAATACTAAAGGGATATTACAGGATAAAACAGGTATTTTGGTAGAAATAAAACATGAGTGGCTCTCCATTTGCTTTTTCTATTCATTAATTGTGTTATAATTTCTTCCATCTCCCTGTAATGAACTTTTCAAAATCGATCCAGGAGGCCCAGAGATAAAGGCCATCCCTCCCTGGGGTCTAAAAACAAGTATAGTCTGAATAAAACATTGCCAATTTAACCACGTCCTAAGAGTCAGGAAAACAATGAAAATCCCCAGAGAAAGATTGAATGCAGTTACAGTAAGTGGCACATGGCTCATTTGATTATCACCCCCACGTCCTGAACATTTGTTCTGAAAGTGCAGACATCTGTCAACTTGCATTTACATTTCTTGCAACAAAGAGTTTACTTAATTAACTAAGACAAAAGATAAAGAATGTTATACAGGCAGACTACAAAGCTCAATAGCTTCTGAAGTCTTTGGTCGGAAATGTTTTTTTGGTATTTCCAGCTGCCAACCCTATATTGAGCACACCTACTCGCTCATTTGCAAGTCAGATGACTTTCCACTGAACCCTAGGATCAAGAGATAACAGCTTATTTTACAGTTCCAAATAAATATCATTTGCATCCCACCATGACTATTAGCATAAATGACTTCACATTCTGAAACATGGAAGGAGTCCAGTATATTGTCACAAGTCCAAACATCCAAACAATGGAAGACAAAGTGATCAAACAGAACAATATGAGGCTTGGCTTATATCCTTATTCAGCAGCAACGTTGTTTAAAGGCAGGGCTTTTCTAGACTCCATGGGTGACAATATCCCTGCACAAAAACTGATGAGAAATTATCCAAACCACAATCCAGGAGGAACAGAGGTCAAAGTGAACGCAGACAGTAGGTTCTCACAGATACCGGTTCTCATGAACTCTCGGCATCAATGAACAATGGGATATTATCTTCAGTCTGTTCAGAGTACAACAAAGCAACAGAGCAGCTTTTTGCATATCAAGGCAAATCATTCAGCTTTTTGCTTTGATGTACAAAACATATCTTTGGATGTGGGTGGAACTGTTTTTTTTTTCCCCAACTAGTGAATTTTAACTCCTTTTCTTATTTGAGCCGTGTGCTTCTATGCAAGTCTAACCTCCATCCTAGCTCTAGTTTTTAAATTTACAAATGTGTTTGAGCTTTCTACAATAATTCGGATAAAGAGATCTGCACCATATCTTAATGAAAAAATATTAAATTATTGGTAATAATTGTGGTTCTTAAAAGCAGAGCTGCACAGAATTACAAGATTCTAGAAGTATCTGCAGCACATTGCACCAGGTCAAAGAAAGGTTTTGCATCGATTGATTGGATAAGTTTGTACTTTGTACCAAACTAGGTCAATTTTGAAGAGGGGAAGTGGAGTTAAAGCCAGAAAAGGAGATATGTGCATCAGAAAGTAATAAGATCTACCTGCTTGCCGTCCAGAGTGTAGATCCTCTTCACCACTCCGCTCTCCAGTTTGATGGCTTCTGTAATGTCAGTCAGAACCTGCTCAAAGGAATGTGCAGTCTTCTTGTTGAGTAGGATGCGCACAGCTTTACGCGGCTTCACACCGCTCCTCATCACCGTCACCAGCTTGGGCCGAACAAAATCTTTACCCTCCCTGGAGTCGCCGGCAAACTTGGCCGCAAGGGACTGGATGTTTTTCTGGTTGGCTGAGGCCTTCACGTTCACTGACCAGTTGGGGTTGACGTTCTTTGTGTAGTCCACTTTCTTGTACAAGTTCTCCGACGCACACACATAGCTCTCTCCTGAGGAAGAAGAGGGAATGAGGTTAGGATTGTGTAACCCCCAAAATGAATGAAAATCAAAAGTACAATCCTGTTGGTGAATAGTCAAGACTATTGAAAACGCCAAAAAGCTTAAGAATAATTCTCTTGAAAATAAATCCCTGTGCTTACTTTGCATCATTTCAAAACTGAGACAATTCTTCTAAATCAACTTTCTCTCTTTAAACCATGTTACAACATTGTTTCACATTGAAAACAGACTTGGGGTTGTTTTTAGATCCATCCATACTATTAACAGCAACTTCTGGCACAAACATGTGACAGTCAATGTAATTGTACCACTATGGCACACTCAGAGCAGAGTTCAGCCTTAAAACCAAATCAAGAAAAATATCAAATAAAAAGGTTGGAAGAACACACACACCCCCCCTGGTGGTAGCATACAGAGTTGCTGGAGGAAAAATGTTCTTCACACTTGTTTCACTATACATTAATTTGACATTGAAGAAGAAACGTTAGGAGTTATTTTTCAAAGCATTTAGGGGGTATTTTAGTAGATTTAGAAAAGGCCGGTCCAAATCATCCACCATGACAAATTGCCAGAACAACCCAGATGTTAAATAAGTCTCAACAATGCATTTTCCTCACACTATTGCTTGTCTAATAGTCGCTCAGTCACTCAGACAAGTAGCAATACAATGTAGACACAAAAGGCTGCACAGGAAGGGAGATTAGGGGGGAATTTGGCAAATGGGGACAACCAGAATGCCAGAAAGCCACAATTAGAACTAAAGTGGAGAAATTGCAGCAGACAAAGGCAAAAATCAAGATTACACAGTGCAGCGGAGATTGAGCAATTAAATATAGCCCACACAAGGAAGCTCTGTGAAAATTAAGTGGAGTGCCGGCCCCTAACCTCAATCAGATCACAACTGCATACACCGGTGCTGCACACATTTAAAAAGAGCTCAAAATCTAGGACACTTGTTTTCTTTCCAGAAACGTGCAGCATTACTAGACAGAATATTTCCTTGTGTCCATTAAATCAAGTCTGAACAGAAAACTGTCTTGGTTTAACGACCAATCATGCATCAGGTCACCCTCAAATAAGTTTTAATATAAAGGCACTTCCTAGTTTGATAAAAAACATGACCCAAATAAGCATAGGCATATCATAGTCCTTGTGAGACACAGCAATGGCTTTAACAAGTCCAAACAGACAGCTTGAAGCAGGCTAGGATTTTAAAGCTATTGAGTTGAACAGTCATTTGACAAGAGATTTCAGAGTTTCTAAAGAAAAATGTCTGAAGGTTTCTAAAGGCGCATTAAGAATTCTAATGCCAATTCTTTCCTTCAATAAAAACCATCCCAAACTCGCATTGATGCATACTTTGCCAATATGTTTTGCAGACGGGGATTAAGACTATAATAACCCAATATTTTAACTTGACAGTACACATTTGATTTTAAACACATGACAGAAGATTGATGTTCAAGCCAAAGCAAATATGATTCAGACATTTCATTCATTATATTTTTTTACAAAAATAAGGGTTAGTAAATATTGTGATAAAAAGTTCAATTTGTTTTGAGAGTACCGTCTGGGTCAGGTATTCTCTGGCTTCCTGTGGCTCAGAGAATAGACTTCAAAGCAGTTCCGCTCTCTCCATGGCTTCGCACCAAAGTACATCCGTGACATGTTAGCGCCATTAGAACAGCCTCCTTTCAGATTTATGCGGTTAAAAACTGGAACAATCTTCCTGAAAATCTGAGACTGGCTTGTAATGTCCAAATCCAAGTTAAAACAGGTCTGTTTAGCTGTGCATACTTTTATTGTACTGTGGTCATTTATTATTTTAATGCCTTGTGTGACTTTCTATCTAGTTTTGTTCAGCACTTTGAGTTGCCTTGTGTATGAACTGTGCTATACAGATAAACTTTCCTTCATAATAATTTAGAGCATTTGTCACGCCCCCTTTTTAGGCAAGGCAAGTTTATTTTTAAAGCACAGTTCATAGCTAAGGCATCTGAAACTTTAACATTGTACAAGGATATTTTAAAAACATCATACACAGATAAACTTTCTAATGTACTGCGAATAAAGATTAGAGTTGAAGCCCCTCAAATTTTCAGGAAGATGGATTCAGGTTTTGGCTACAATAATCTGAAATGCCATCTCCTCATCCTGACTCTGGGCACCAGCAGGAGGCCAGTCCCTGTGCTCCTCAGACCCCGAGTTGGTTCCTATGGCACTGGCGTGTCACCAATGTAAAGACTACTCTCTAAGCCACAGGAAGCCGATGAAGAAACCTGTGCGATCGTACTTCCTGGTTTTAGTCAGGATTCAAGCTGCAGCATTTTGAAAATACTATTTTAGAACTTGTTTCGAGAGTCCAGTGTGCAGGTCTAACCTACTACAAATGCAAAGAAGAAAAAGCAACCAGTTTAGTCCACTGATCGATCGACAAAGTGTTTCTTTGGTCAATTACAGCCCGAGATTGTTACAATATCTGATTATGCTATTTTTGAACCTGGACAATACAATTCATCTTACCTTCTTCAAGCTCGTCCAAAGTGGAGATTTTGCGTGAGCCGTCGATGGTGAAGATGAAGCGGACGCCCTGTGGGAGGTTGATGTGGTCGGCCAGTGATCTGGTGAGGTCAGCCAGGAGAGCGTCAAAGGTGCGAAACCGGTCGTTGGCCACAGCGTACACGATGCCTTTGAAATACCGGTCGCCATTGCGGTAGAAGCGCACTTTTTTGGCCTTCTTCTCATTGGAGAGCGCTTGCAGTGTGCGTGTGCGATAAAAGCTGCAGTGGGCACTGTGGGTTGGGCTGGGGAGTCCATTCATACGGCCACCTCGAGGGGTGCGGGTTTTGTCCCGTTCATCAAAATGTCCAAAGTCTAGTTCCATGGTCACTGGAAGGTGCGAAGGCTGATGTCAAATGGCTGAAACTGCAAAATAAATCAAATACAAACTATTATTAAAAATTGTAAAGTCCAACATAGTTTGATTTCAGCATATAATGTGTGCGTTTAAAAGTCAGCAGTAAGATATTAAAATGTGGTTTTGGAAAGCACAATGTGGCTATGTTGAAACCAATGCAAATATCCAGCATTTCATTTCCTGATCTCAAAAGAAGAGTAACAGTAACTAAAAAAACCCAGAGGAAAATACTTTCATTATGAAACAAGCTTATCACAAACCAGAAGTAAATTAAAAAAATGTTTGGATGTGAACAAGCAAATACTGTAAATATTAGTTTCTCTTTTTCAAAGTACTATAGACCCACAGTTGCATTTAAAACTGGGATACCCAGCTTTGTTCCATAAATAATACATATAGCTTATTCAAAAGTAAAATGACCATAACATGCCTTCATCTTATATATTTTTGCATACTTGTGAGAAAAAGCCCTGTGAGTCACTGAATCTTTGAGCTGAAATCTGAGTGAGGGTAGCCAACAAACACGCAAGAACAAGACAATTTATTGTCATTGTCACAGAGAGCAACAAAATTAAGTTCAGAGCATCAACAACGAACACTGCATAGTTTGAAGTGTATAAACTGCAGTGTCCACATAACCTAGTGTAAAGATTTAACCAATCTGGTCATACGTGCTAAAAGATTTGCAGATAGCAATAGAACCAAAATGAGTCAGGAACCAGCAACATTGATCATATTTCGTTCAATGTTTGTGGTTTGAAAGTTGGGTATCCCAGCTTTAAACGATTTTTGACGTTTACGTGTAAAAGGCCATTCATTCACTAGAACACATGGCACCTGAGCAACTCTATTTCCAAGAGGGGATCTGGTTCATAGACATAATATTAGGTCTAGTATTAACCAACATAGATGACCACAGAAACATAAAAGGCCATAAAACAAAGCATCAGAGCCCATCCACGGTGCTATGACAGGCACATGGAGAGGGGCGGGACAGGGGGTCTTCCCTGCTCACAAAGACCAGGTTTCAGGCCCATCTGCTGCACTAATGGGCAGATCTAACGCGGACCCTTCCCCAACTGAGCATCAACTGGCCTGTCCCATTGTCTCTCAACAGGGAACTGCCTTCAGCCTGACATCACCACAAGACAACTGCTTAGGGTCTATTTTTATGTTTAGAGCCAGAAAGTCCAGCTATTGTTCAAGTCAACGTCCTCTAATGTACAGTAAAGTAAAGTATGTTTAACAGACATGTATGCCTCACCAATGAAAGTCCCTTTTTATCCAACCATGTGCTCAGCTTGAGACAGCACTGCAGTGTCATTAAGTGAGATCTATTACATTTTGTTCAAGAGTGTGAAAGCCACCCACACACACACAAGCCCACTCATTCAGGCAGTACAGTGACACAGAACATTCAAAAGAACTAAATATTCTATATGTATACACAATAACCATACATCGAGGAGGACAAACGCACAAAAATAATAATCAAATCTGTTAAAAATTAGAAGAAGTTTTATCCAAAGGAATCAGTAGATGACTGGAAAGCACATGGCAAAAGGAGTGTCATGTAGGGGGCGTCTGGACTCACACCTACACGACCACCTGCACAATCAGCAATTACGCACGGGAAGTCCACATCAAAGTTAATTACCGGCTCCAGAGTATGGGTTTGTGAATAATGACACAGGTTTCCTTCGCTTGCTTACCTCCGTAGTGGCTGTAGGGATGTGGGATGAATGAATGGGCTGCGGATGCTGGTCTCTCCCCCTCGCCTTTGTCTGCTGTGAGTGCGCACAGACCGTAGAACAGAACTGCTGCCTTCACTGGAGCTGCAGCCACAGGGTCCTAAAGCCAAACTCACCGAGGACACACCCCCCGCCTAAACCCATTGAACCAACAGAGCTGCTCCAAACCAGTGTGATGTCACCTTTCAAATACCCGCATCATGGACACAATGGAGGCTGCTGACTTTAAAGGAGACATTAGGCTTCACTAATATGTTTAATTTCTTGGTTGAACTATATACCACACATGGATCCTTATTGTTTCACATTGTATGATGACTGTTCATTGACTTCCTGACAATGAGCTGATGAACCCGCCTCCTGATCTGTGCCTTTCATGGATGCCTGAAGGCTGGGACAGGTGGAAGGTGAAACTAAAGCCTCCATGCAGGACAATACAGGATTACTCATGTATGTTAAAATGAAAGGTTAAAATCACAACATTGTCCACATATAAATAATGTGATTGTTTTTGTTTTGTTTTGTTCTCTTGGGAGTTGTAGTGATTAGGTAATCGTCCAGGATGTGTGGGAAGAATTTGGAAGGCCCTGGTCCACTGCTTTGGGTAAATCTAAACTGTGGTCTCACACATTGAGATTCAAAATGTAATACTGTTATAATTTAGATGATCATTTGTCAACTAAATTGTGTAACATATAACTTTCTTTGCAATGAAAAATGCTCCCTCCCTGTAATGCATTTAAATTATTATTATATAATTTGCTTTGAAATCTATTGCCAGAATTTCGGAAATATTTAATAGTTTAGATAAAGATTACTTACTTAGATTAATTAGTTAAACAAAAAAAAACGTATTTTATTATGCAAATGCTTTATGATGAAGTGCTTTCAGGTTGAAAAAAAGCTTAATTGAATGAATATCCAGCTCTCTTATCTTCTTCCAAGAAAAAATATAGCAGAAGAAAACTCAAAACTTAATGATGATGATGATGATAGCTGATTCCAGTCTATTCCGGACAATGTATAAATGCATTAATCTCTTTAATAATATGAGCAATTCACACAAGAAAGAAGCTTTGATAAACACTGGGAAGTGTGTGTAAAAGTCATGTTTTATGTTCTGCATGTCCTGAAGCATTGATGCTTTGAATACCTGGCTGATTGACTCTGCTCTCATGTGGTTCAAGAGACAAAGCCTAGTTTGAAGTTTTTGGTCTGCTTGCAGCTCTTTGTCATGGGGAATAAAAGCATGAATGCCTGTGCACTTGTGTTTGACCTCTTCCTCTCTTTCCCATCTAGTTTTTTATTGTCAAGCAACATGATCTATAGGTCAATACAGGCCTTTAACCACATCATATACGGAAGTCAATAGTTTACTATAAGCTTAGCGTGGGACGAAACAATACACTGTACATCGAGCAGAAGTGTGAAATGCCCTTTTGTCTTTGCTGACCTTGTACAACAATACGGATTGACAAGGATTATTTCAACCGTAATAGAAAAATATAAAACTGACTTATTTGAGCATCCTGGTAAAAAATGTCAAATATTTAGTCAATATGAACATAACCTTCCTTGACATTTATGGACATTAATCAACAATGATGGACATTATACATGGAATTGAATTGAATTAACTTGAAGTAACTGAAAAGGTTTTTGGCCTGGCCTCCCCTTTAATCATTGCACACATTAAAACACACAGAAAACACTTTGAACTAAATATGATGTCAGATTGGGTGACAGGATGTAAACAGTGCTCGTCCTTGCGGCCCTGTAACTACAATGAAAGACCCATGCGCTGGTTTATGTAGCACGGTGTAAGTTGCAACTTTCCTTCTGGTTTTGGGCTTCAGCAGCAGCGTCATACGTGGAGGAAAGGTGAGCCGTGGTCATCGGATACTCCCGTAGAGTGAGAAGGACACACATGCACTGGACACACAGGGCTGGAAATGATGAAATGATTATCTTTTGTTGTCGTGTAAGGTTGCAGGCGTTTGACCTCTGGGCCCGTCAACTGGGAAGGAATACAAATGTGTGATGCTTTGACATGACGGTGTGTAAATGAGGAAACTGTATACTGTAGCCTGGATCTGTCTGTAATCTGTCTTCCTCCTGTTGCACTTATACTTGCACCCATCAGCACATGCACTGCTTCTTTCTGTGGAACTAGATGTTTATCTTGGCACTCTGCATACAATTCCTTTGCAGCAGTGAAAATATGTGAATTGACAAGATCCATGAGACCCAATTTGTAATAATTTCTGTACCATTAAAAGTACAGCACTATTCTCCTATATTTGCATATGCTGGTTACTTCAGTCATTTTAATGTTTGTTCTCAGCTTTTTACAGCATTAAAGCAGTTAGCTACAGCTGCTCAGAGGTAGATGAAAGAACCAAAGCCCTATCAGCTTCAACACCTGTTCACAAACTAGATTCTTTAAGACACAGAGGGAAGGTGGAGGGACGCACTTGCCACAGAATCTGTTTGACAAAATTATTATTTACTTTTTATTTTAAGAGTGAATGTGATTATTTATCTGTGATTGCATCTGGAGTCAGCTTTCCTACTGAAGTCTTATCATCATCCTATAATTGAGTCTTTCGGCAATTAACTCTTTATACATATCTTAAAGTCTGTAGATGTGGAAATTGAGTTCAAATAAAAAAAGCAATAAGTGACCATATTTACATTCAAAGATTCAGTTTGGACATTTGTGTTTAGACCCTAGAAAGGACAAAGTCTTATGAGGGAAATACTGTATGACCAGCCCGGAATATACAATGAAATCTCAGACTCCCTGGTGGACCAAGAAAAGATGAAAACATGGAGGGTTGAAATAGACTTGTCATGAAAAGCAGCTTAATTTAAACTGTGCTGAGACGAGACAAGAGGAGGAGAAGTTGGAACTTTGGCAGATGATGATGCTACAGGGGATGAAATGGTGGAGCGGAAAAGGTAAAAATACGGCATTCTGAAATGTCAGTATTTGAGGTAAAACACACACGCACACACACACACATAGCCACACACACACTCACACACACATAGCCACACACAGAGTCACCCACACACACGCACACCCACACACACGCACATACACACATAGCCACACACAGAGTCACCCACACACACGCACACACACACACACACACACACACATACACACACACACACACACACACACATTCAACTATATACTCTGTATAAACTTGTAATTGAGTATTTGTATACTATACTTGTCCCCAAACCTGTATTCAGAATCAGAATCAGAATAATTTTTATTGCCATGTGAGTAACAGGAGGTCACAGACTTGGAAATTGCTTTGGCTCAGTGCAACAGTCAAGGAGAGAATAAAAAATAAAGAATAAAAACACTTCTATGGAATAAATGTAAAATTAAAATTAAAATAGAGTTACAATTACTATATACAATATACATGTGCACATGGTGCACACAATGTAAGGTGACAGCAGTACAGTGAGGTAAAGTGGCATATGTATAAAGGGCAGTAAAGTGACTTTATAAAGAGCAGTAGGGGACTTCTAGAGGGCGGGGAGGTTAAGAAGTGTTCAAGAGTCCAACAGCAGAGGGGAAGAAACTGTTCTTGTGGCGGGAGGTTCTAGTCCTGATGGATTCTTTTTCCTGTTAGGCGGAGTGCTAACCACTGCATGTTGACAACTCAATACGTTTGCAGTGTTATTAATCATGCAGTTATCTGGACATTCCATAAGAATTATTTTTTTTCCATGGCATCACTTGTTTCAGAATATACAATTCTAAAAGCATTAAAACAAATCAAGGACAATCTTTGTGCACCGTACAATCAGGTGTCGTGTTCACGAGGCACTGATGAAGAGAGCCAGATTTTACAACCACTCTGAATAATTTAAGTCAAGGTTACTCAATCACCATGACCTCACCGTATTTTACCATCACGTGAAGAGGATGGAGGACCAGTTTCTGACCACATATTTTTGGCATACAATGAGAAACTGAAAATAGAGAGGGTCGGATGAGATCATGTGGAGTTACCATGGCAATCTCTTCAGGATTACTAAACTGAGTGGAATGTGCTGCTAAAAGAATTAATTAAATTTACTTTCTAACGTTTTTGGTTGGTTTGGTTTGGTCATCACTATAGATGCATATATGTGTGCATGTATGACAGGGTTTTATTAAGATATTATTCATAATTAGTTTGGTGGAATGGCATCTAATCAAACTACACATGTTAGTGTTTCAACAATAAAGCCACAGGTTGTGAAGAAAAGTGTGGATATATTTGGAAATCTACAGGAAGTATAGAGTTCTTGAACGGATGGCGTCACGCTACAACGGTGTCCCCCAACCTTTTTGAGCCATGACAAATCTTTTCCATTGCAAACAATCACATGACACACAACAGCTAAAACTAATGCACAAATTACACTCAGCAGCAAAGTTATTCTCTTTGAATGGTTTTGTAGAGAAAAAGTTTCTAATCTTCTAACATCCTTTCCTTCTCAGATTATTTTGATGAATTAGGTTTTATTGGATCATTTCCAGGAGCACCAAACAACATCTCAAGGTACACTTTGTGCCTTGGCTTACTGGTTAAGAAACACTGCGTTTCACATGGTTGCTTGGTAAAATCCGAAGCTATCGCCATCTATGACAAGCAGGAAGTAAAACGTTGCATCTAAAAATATGGTCAAACTGGCATGAAATCTGTAAAATAATCTTAAATCTGTTTTACAAATCTTTAATGTCATGATGTTTACTGTGTGTGAACAGTCAAGTCTAACCTCTGAGTTCTGGGTTGAATTGAAGCGTGTCCCAGTATGTCTATGGTCCCAGCTGGTGCCTGAAGAAACAGGGAGGGGGGTCGCAACCATGACAACTGATGGAGCAGGAAGTAAACAGATGTCCACAAGCTGGCAGAGCGACCAGAGTGGACATGTGCACATATGGGAACTGCGTATGGAAGGTACCACTGCAGTGACAATCTTAAAAACAGAAGATGTCCCTTATGCAGTAATTGGTAGCTGAAGAGTTTTCTTTAATAATAAAGAAGAAATAATAGACACTTTTTTATAGCACATCTCATACAGGATTGCAAGTGACAAAAAGACAACAATGAGATATTTATTTTTTATTTGTTTTATTTATTTTATTTATTTATGTAATTTTTTTGTTTATTTGTTGTTGTTGTTGTAGTTTGTTTTCTTTTCAGGCAAACCCAAGAGCATCACAATTGTAATAAGCAAAGTAAACAAAGTCTTTAGTTTACTTTAAAATGAGCTCAGGGTTGGAGCACATTTATCATCATTTACAAGGAGCATAATGGGAGCACGCCGCTTTAATAATGAATGCAGCCTTTTAGATTAACATATTTTAATTGTATGTTCACATTTGGTTGAATTGTTTATGAAGTGAAGGCATTGTGAGCTTGTGAACACTATGGGCTTTATGGAAAATATTAAATTATAAATAAAGATTGAAATGTATTTTAATAAAGATCACTTACTTACTCACTCCCTTTTATGATGTCTTGTTAGAATTACACACAATCCACTGGTCAACCAGGCTGCATACAGTGTTCCGCATGAAAATCCGTTGACAAACTGCAAACTCTGAGGGCAGGAAGTGAATGAGACGCAGCGCTGGCTCCTGGATGCTGTCAACATGACCTTGGCTGCCACTCCATTCTCAGCTGCTGTCGACTGTACAGAGACAGCCCACCCTCCACAAGTCAAGCACCGAGGCGAAAACAAAGCTGCCAAGACTGATCAAAGTAACTTGTCGAGGTCACGTAGGCCAAAAAAGCTTTAAAAGCATGGAATGTATGTGTAAATGTGTGTTAACCCTTTGGCATTTGGATGTGAAACTGTAGAAAAGCCATGAATCTTTGTAAAAGATAGAGGAGGTCTAAAAGGTTAATAAGATTTATCTGTAGACGCAAAAAATAGATTTGGGTTTTGTGTGAATCTTGAGTGGTTAAAGTGTATATGAACGAATGAGTCAATCCAACTTGGTTAATATTAAACACACCAAGTTTTGGTAACTATTCCGGGTCTAGTTGAACTTCATTTTTACCATTCTAAAATGAAAAAGTGATGTAAGTAAAGTAAGTTAGATTCAACAAGGTGGCAGCTTTTTAAACAAGCAGGTAGTGGACCTCTGATAAGAAACAACAAGAATCATGACTAAGATGTCTATTCTATGTAATCATAAATAGGTTTGACTGCTAAAGCTTTTGAAGTTTCCAGTGTACTGTGAGCACAGCCTGACTCAGACTGGAATGATGCTGCAGTTCCAGGAAGAGAGCAGAAGATCCCAGCAGCAGTGTGTGTTGTACATAAATGAGCTCTCAGTCAAACAAAGCTTCATCATCTTAGGCCATTCACTGCCAGGAACCCTACAGAGGAGCTATCTCAAGGCCTCCGATACTGCACAGCTGCTGCTCAAGACGTATGAGACACACGAGGTGACGTCACTTTGAAGGGAGGAACATTCCTTGTGTGCATTATAGATTTTGCTGATTCACACTGTTGGCTGACTAATGTTTGTTTTACCACTGGTTGTAAAGTGTGTCTTTGTTCTCACCAATCAACTTGAAAATACAAACAGTGGACAGGTCACTCTGATGAGCACACATGGGCTGAAATGTCATAAAGAGCGACACTATAACTTAAACAGGACGAAAAGATCTCACACCATAAAATCCTCTGACTGATCAAGTGTAAACTAAATGAAAGACTCGGCAATAAAAATACGACGAGGACATGTTGGAATATTTGTGTGGGCAGATGCCGTCTCAAGTAGCTTTGTCTGCTCTAAAGTTTCTCTAATGAGGGGGTGTAGAGATGCAACTGAGACCAGGGAGAGGGGGAGGACAGAGGGGTGAGGAGGGGTACCCTGTCCACAGACTCAGATAATAACAGAGTTCCAGATGCCCCGCTGGCAGCTTGGCAGAAGGCAGGCATTAGTCTGAAACTCCCTTTGTGTCACAAAAGTAGAAAACCTCTAATCACGGTACTGAGCAGGATTACAGTGGAGTGGATCGACTCAAATTCAGCACATTCTCGACGGCGGAGGATATGTCCAATATTGATTAATGAAATGAATCCACACGAGTCTCACTAATGTTCACACCAGAGAAAAACAGATTGTTTTAAATGGCATAGACCTACTCTGCGGCTACAAGGAAATGCTTTAAATGCGTCTAATTTTCTACTGATGCAGCTTTATTGTTATTGACAGATGAGTAAGCTCACCAGAACAGGGGCTGGTCATGATAAGTGAAATAAAGGATAACAGAGCAAAATCCAGAGTAAAAAATTAAAATTTAACCAAACTGGGAATGAAGACAAATACCAAGAGACATTGAAATGACAATGATAGTCCAGGGAGTGAAGGAATACACAGAGTTTAAACACCCAATACCAACAAGACAATGGTGAAACACATGAGGGCAGGACAGGTGATCACACAACAGGAAGTAGAACTAAGGAAAATAGAGGGCTTGGCAAATTGACACAAAAAACAGGAAATAATCCTAAACCAAGACAGTCCCCACAACACAGCGTTTATAAGTGTATACGTGTATGTTTATTATTCATTCAATTTATGAATTTATTCCCCTAAAATCATCTGCTGTATCCTGTATGTAATCTAAAAGGAGATTAAATCATACAAAGTTTAATATTTTATTTTTTTAAACCTGATTTCCAATACCTAAAGACGCCCTTTAAAATTAGGCAGGCATACTGATAAATGTCAACATCTTAATGCTTTTCTTCAGCAAGTGTCATATCATGTCAGTAGGAGCAAAGATAATGTAGGTCATAACAGCACTAAAGATGAACCCTCTTACATTCAAAAGACACGTGTGGTCCATAAAAAGTGTGTTATTTCAACTCATCATGTCCTGTGAGGTCTACGTCTATTGTGAGATTTACAATATACTTCCTTCCTAATCACGTGTGGGCTATGTAGGATTAGGGGCTGTGTCTGTGTTAAAAATAATACACACGTTTGAATATGATATACCCATTACTATTTAGAAAAGCTTTTGTCTGAATGGGTTGCCTTTTATCTTGATTTGTCACTACTTTCTCTGCAATCACTTTATAAGTATTTATTTCTATATGAATCACTCTGAGATAGATGTTTTTGAAAAGCGCTGTACAAATAGATTTATCAGCTCAAATTATTTGTGCTATAACTGTTATTGAAGCCAGCGTAACTGACTTTTAAACCACAAAACTTTTGGTTCAATCACTAGTTTTCACATTATCACACATGTTTTTGGCCTCTCTCACATCTTTAGATAAGCTTTTTCAAACAAAAAAGCCAATCAGCAGAGAGACAGAGAGACAGAGTGAGAGAGAGAGAGAGAGAGAGAGAGAGACAGAGAGAGACAGAGAGAGAGAGAGAGAGAGAGAGAGAGAGAGAGACAGAGAGACAGAGAGAGAGAGAGAGAGAGAGACAGAGAGAGAGAGAGAGAGAGAGAGACAGAGAGAGAGAGACAGAGAGAGAGAGAGACAGAGAGAGAGAAAGAGAGAGAGAGAGAGAGAGAGAGAGAGAAAGAGAGAGAGAGAGAAAGAGAGAGAGACAGAGAGAGAGAGAGAGAGAGAGAGTGAGAGAGAGAGAGAGAAAGAGAGAGAGAGAGAAAGAAAGAGAGAGAGAGAGAAATACTAATAATGATCGACGGCCTGATGTCGCGCGTATGCCATCTGCTGGACACTTAAGAGAATGCGACACACTGTGGTTTACAGTTGTAGGCTTAAAGTACCTTGCTCTGAAATGTTTAGTGTTCAGAAAATAATTCCACTGCTAATTAAACATACGAAATAATAGTAAACCCACACGGAAATATTAAATAGTAGCATCCATTCCCGGAAGTGAATGCGAATACTGTTACCATGGTTACGCCCGTGGGGACCAAAACATACGGAAGGCCTAGCGGTAATTGTTAAAGATAGCAGAGACAGAGCCTCAACAAGGAGATTGTATTCATAAAAATGAGTCTTTCAACCACCTGCCAAATTCCCTATAAGGATGCTACAAGTAAATTCGTCAGCCGGGAGCGTACTTATGACTATCTTTACGGTAAGCAATCCGCAGAATCAACCCTCTACTTTAGTCTACTTTTGCTTTGGAGTGACAGATCCCGTTTCTCCCACACAGACCCAGTTTACACCGTCTCATCAGAAGTGGATCATATCAGGTCCAGTTTGAAGGCCTACACGTCAAAGAACAGAGTGGTGAGGTCTGGTTTAAAGCTGGGGTATCCATCTTTTTCCATATAATATTGCTTTTCCCAACAAGACTTTTAAGTTGTAAAAGTAAAATGTTGTTATCAAATCAGACTACAAGATGCTTCTAAGAAAGAGCTCTGTGAGTCACTATTCGAGGCTTTAACCTGAGAGTAATAGAGGATGGTCCTGTCCTTGTTATTTTTTTTTGTCTGAAAAAGCTGATCTAGAGCTGACAGAGGCTATTAAAAATGGATGTGATGGAGTGATAGTGATAGAACCAAACTGTTAAGAGCCAGGAAGTTACATAGACTTTAGCTAGGCATTTTAAAGTTACGTACAAATTCAATTCAATTCTATGTATTCCTGTATAGCCATAAATCACAACAGTAGTTATCTTGAAGGACTTTACGAAACCGTTGAAACTGTTCAAACACAAGAAATGCAATGATAAAATAACACATAGAAGGGGCAGATGACAAATGTTCATAAATGTTGATAAATGTCCATACATGTCAAGTGTCCTGGATCATCACTGTAGACCCTCCTGCACCGACAACAGATATAAGAGTCAAAAGACTGTACAGAATAGGATAGAGCAAATGTTTCTTTCTTTTTTATTTTCTTTTTTATAGCTACGGATCCCAGAGTATGGATCCATGTTCAGCAGTCTTCCTCACTACCCAAGATTCCAACTTCAGTTGGACCCTACAGACCCAGTGCCAGACTTTATTGATCGTCGATGGAGGGGCCACATAGATCAATACAAACAGGCCTTGCATCAACTAGCCGGGTGACTGCTTGATTTGTTGTGGATTGATAATGCTGCAATCACTGCTATTAATGTGACTTCCAATCCAGGGTTGGCAGAGCTGCATCTCCATGGCTGCAGAAAGAAGAAGGTCGAGTGACTGGATCGGATCCTTGGAAATATTGTACACGGTGGGCCTTGGGACCTCTACTTATGTTGCAATCATGTGATATCAATGATTACTTCAACCTAAAATCTAACTTGTTATGTCCTAATCATTATTATCAAGCCCTCTGATTCCATATGGACAGCAATTGCCTCCAAATGTTATATTTTCTTTGCCAGAGTAAGTTTATTTAATTAGCCCAAATAGATATGCATTGGATGTCTTGTTTACTCATTGTGTAATTTATATTTTCTCACAGAGAAGAGTGTTTTTTCCATCTGGACCGAACCTCTTTGCAGCAGCCCACAAAGGTTACTGTGGCAGTCCAGACTGACTATAGAGAGAGTGAGACACAAACGGACCCTTACAGCCCAGAATATACCATCCAACCTGGGACAACGCCTTCTGAACTTTTGACTCTAGCTGTTTTGACTTGGGGTATGAGTTTTGATATTTTTATCTGAAAGTAAACATAATCAAAAACAACATAGAGTCACAGCACATGCCCATCATAGTTTATAGTTAAATACATGTAGCATATTGTCACTGTAATTATTATGATAATAATTTAAGACACATACAGTACTCAGGAATAACCATCTGTGCCTAGTCATGTTGAAAGTCTCTTGATATTTCATTTCCCTCAGGTCATGGACTACCTGCAGGTTTGGCAGAGGTAAAAATGATAGAACATGTTAGAGCCAAGCGAGCTTGGGAGGCCACTCTTCCTCCACTGAACGATCTTAGTCAAATGGACAAGAGGAGACGTATGATGGATGAGATGGAGGCCAAAGAGTGGGCTTTTAGAGAGAGTGAAATCCAGAAGTGAGTAACTATTGAACTTTTATTACATTCTGAAAACAAGTCTTCCAGAAGTCTTACTCTTGCACTATATTCAGAATAAAAGAGGTCCGTCTCGCTGTGCTGACTGACCTCCTGAAAAGAAGAGACCAGACTCAGCAGGAATATACACATGACAGACTCATGCATATCAATCACAAGCTACAGATGGAGAAAGAGTCCAAGATGAAAAAGATCAACAATGACTATTTTAGAGGTAAGACACATTTCTTACAAAATATATGACTTATAGGCTTATTCCTTTACTTTATTATATTTGACTTTTCCCACAGGATTGAGAAAAGTAGAAAGAAAATATGGTGTTGTAATGGACAAATTAAAACATTTCCACAACTTTAAAGAAGACCACAGCCCTCACACACACTCTTCAGGAAGAAAAAAACCTGATGCAAAGTCAATAAACTACAACTTTGATATTGAAGGTATGTGTAAACATTTCTCCTTCTACACATTTTTAAATATTCTAATAGTTATATTAGTATTTTGAAACTGTTAAAATTATATTTTAAAAGGTTTAACAAAGCTGGAAACAGCTTCATCATTTAAATCCCCAGAAAAAAATGCAAAACTGACTAGAAGTATGATCCAAAACTCTAGTCAGAGGGCGTTTCAGCTGTATGAGCAGTACAGGGTGAGTCACTAAAATGATACCTTTATATTATCAGTGGTAAAGTACATACTTGTATATAGGCTCTACGGAGGCCCAGGTCAGAGAGTCCAGTGGATTGTCTTGTTAAGATTGAGAAACCCTCTCCTCCACCGGCCACACCTGAAGTAGAGCAACCACCAGAAGTAAGTTTGGGCCAAGCTGTTTCTGACATTTGATAAAAATACTAATAAAACGAACATGTTACCTTCTCTATTAAGGGGAAAGAAGAGAAAGAAGCAGCTGTTGTTTACTTGCAGAAGTTACTAAGAGGAAGAGCCATTCAGTATGAGGTTTGTGCATATTTGGATTTGCATGTACGTTTTATTTTTTATGTTTCAATAATGGTGTATATGTTTGTTGATGAAGATAATTAAAGGTAAAGAAGACCACTTAGACCTGATAAAAGAACTGAGAACAGTTCACGCTCTGCAGAGTGAAGATCAGAAGCAACAGAATGCTGAAAAGGACCGAATATTAAACCTCAAACAGGAGAGAGATCAACAAAATCGCAGGGTATGATATTTCACACCACTACTGTATATACTGTATATGTATTTATGGGTATGGTATAGACACTCTTGTGTGACATGTTTTTCAAACTGAACAGGTGGAGGCGTTACAGGCCAGAGCCGTGGACACAGAGCTTGAATACATGTTTGACACTTTGTCCAAAGACTTGATCAGACTGCAGGAAGAGCGCCGAATCCACGCCTTCACTCTCCTCGCTGAGAGGGACCGTTGCATGCGGGAGGCCGAGGAGAGCAGGCGAAGACAGGTTGAAGAACGCAGAAGAAGAGAAGAAGATGAAATTTTCAGACAAGTCAGTTGCCAAAATCACCCTTTAATATTTGCTGTTTTTGTTCATTTGACTTTGACACAACACTACAGTGAATCCTGCACCCAACCAGACACATATATAAATTGCATTTGAAACTGTGTCGTAGGTGGTACAGATAAACCAGGAGAGTGTAGATCTATACTTGGAGGACATCATTCTGGAAACCTTAGAGAGAGTAGCAGATGACCAGGCAAGAAAGGAGATCCACCAACTGGTCAAAGAGGTCTCTGATGTTGCTTGGGCCTTGGAAGAAAGGTCAGTGACCACAGTATGCAATGCAGTTTGTCCTAAGAAAATATGATATATGTCACTATAAGCAGAACGTTTATGTGTGTCTGGCAGCCTGCAGTCTGAAACCATTGTCCATGAGCTAGTGTATAACTTTCTCATCCCAGAAGTGGCAAAGACTAGCGCCAGGCAACAAGGTAAGTAATAATGTTCAATTCAACAGGATACATTTGGTAATTATCTGACGTGTGCATAAAGACATTGAGGCACATATTTCAAAACGGTCCTAATTTCATCTGTTCTCTCTCAGCTAAACAGAAGCAGCAGAGACACTTACAAGCAGCTCGGACCATCATCCAAGGCACTTCTGGGGGAGTTTCATCTCCCTCTGTCACTGTGGACCCGGGGGAAGAGACAGTCGCAGAGCCAGAACTGCCACAAACAGACACAAATCAATAAAGTGCATATTGCTCCATGATGAGTGGTTAAACTTAGACATGAAATAAGTGAAACTCTACTCTGAGATCTGAGGTAGCTGACTTAAATACAACTACTCAAATAGACTACTGCTGGTACATTATAATAAACTTGATTTATTTGCTCATCTTGGTCACTAATTGGTTGATAATGCTTTTCAACTTTGAATGTTTTTTACTGCAACTACAAGTTTATAGAATATAAATAATAATTTCATAATACAGTAAATATATTAGGCTTTAGTGGTATGGTCATTGTCAAAGAATGATATCAAAACTACTCCCTAGGAATAGGGCTGTGTCAAATATGAACATCTATCTGACTAAGCAGGTGGGAAGGATCCATCCAAGTTGTGTTGCAAACTCTGCAACTTAAGATTCCAGGACTTGAAATTGGATGGCTTGTTATAATTAAATAATGATGTGAAATGAAGAGGATTTCCCTCGCATGGCGCCTTGACAAGAGCTCTGGTGTGTACTATCTGCTGCACACTGAGGTTGTCTTGCACAGTTTTTCCAATGTGGTTTTACTGCAAATAAGATAAGGTAAGATAGACTTTATAGATCTCACACTGGAGAAATGTACATGTCACATTTGGCACAGATAGAATCACTCAGATTGTGCAAAAGACAGAAGTGTGCAAACATGTTAAAGGTAAAAAATATAGTCTATGCAGGATATAATGTGCAATAAAAAAAATCATTTTATTTATCTTATTTTATTTCTATGAATGTCGTCTTACTTTTGCTTTAGTTTTGAAAGGTCATTGCCGGAAGTCGCTCGTGCAGCATCTCGCACTTTTCACACAGGCGCAGTTCTGGTGCTGAAAGTCGCCTGTAAAAAAAACACTCTCATGTCCCACTCTTTGTTTTGGTCCTGAGGCGCTGCTACGGGAGAGAAAGTCTGTGTGCAGTATTTTTTTATATACATCTATGGTCTGGGGGAAAATGTCGGTGGACGAGGCGTACGTGTTCAGGCCGTTCAAAGTGATCGCGTTGCTGTGCGTGTTTCTGGCGCTGTGTCTGGACGTGGTCGCGGTCCTCAGTCCCGCCTGGGTGACCGCAGAGCATTTCTCCCTGTCCCTATGGGAGTCCTGCACTCTGTCCGAGGCCCAGTGGAGCTGCTTCTCTACGCTCACCTCTGGTACTCATTTATAATTTTATTCCCGTTATTCTGTATTCTATTCCCGTTATGTTGGATGTTGAGAGTTGGGAAAGTTTGTGCTGACGCGTTGGAACTCGACTCTAAAATGTTGGAAAGTCAAAAAATCTAAGCAATAGTGCAATGTATATGTTCACTATATTGTCACTTAATAGCAGCAATGTACGTGTTTTTATCACTGAATGCCATCTGAGCAGGAAAGTTCCCTTAATTTCCCTTGTGGATCCAGCTGCAGAAAATACTTTGGCATTCCTTCAGTGTCCATGTTTCATACCAGAGCTGTGACGTGCTGCTGTCAGGACAATACACACAGTGAGAGTTTTGGTTAATGAAACGATTGCCTTATAAGCTCGATTACATAAGTGCATACTGGTATCTGATTCTGTTATTGTAAAGACATATATTTTACCCACAATGGCATCCACCCATACAGACAAATCATGTTAAATCCCTTTGGGTTCAATCGTTTGGGATGAAAGCGGCTTTGGATGCAGACCTCTGCTTTCAGCCATAATGTGGATGGTTTGTCATCCTAATCTTGACGTGAAAATTCAGACATAGCATAGACAAGTAAAGACATAGTATTGGGGCAAAAACAAGCGGGTGTGGCTGAGCGTGGTCTGATATTTTGGAATGTGTTATGTTAAAAGAGGGTGGGGGTCTTTGAGGGTGCACTGCCCTCATTAAGTAACAGCAGAGGGATGTGGAGGGTGAGAACAACTATGAACAAAAATCATTCCCAGGATTCTTCTTTTTCTTTTTCGTTTATTTTTCTAGTGGAGTCCTCTGACTCTTTGATCCCCTCGATGTGTGAGAATGTGTGGCCTTGTCATTAGATGAGCTTGATGTCCTCTTGAGTGGACCTCAGAAGTCCATCTGCTGTTGGGACTGTGCCTCCTGTGGCCTTAAAGACAAATGAAACAAAAGCTCAGAGGACAAAGAGGGAGCTCATCAAGTCATCTCAAAGCAAATCTGGGGGGAAAAGAACAATATGTTGCAGTTTAACTGGGAGTTGGAGTCAGACTTTGGTGCCTGAATGTGAATCACCGTACTTACTGAGATTGTAAAGTAATGGTTTAGCGTAAACCAATAGGCAAAAAATATCACAAAGTCATGATTCATATATGTACATGCATTTTTTTTTTTTATGAGCAACTATTAATGTATCACTAACTGAGTAGTGGTAAATATTTAACCGTTTATGTCCCAGAAAACTGCTAAAATCTTCGAGTTGCATCCATCAATAACATTTTAATCTTTTACAGCTTTTAATGTATTCACTAAACTCTCCACAGATGTTGTCAGTGTTGTTCTGTGACCTTTGTCCAGTGTTTGTCTGCGTAGCAGTTCATTTCAGCAGTGTGGTCTTTTGTTGGGACTGCCTCTCTAACCTCTGTCCCCATCTGTAGACTGGCAGATCGCCACACTGGTGCTGCTGGTGGTCGGAGCAGCTGCCACTCTGCTGGCCTTCCTGGTAGCGCTCATCTCTCTCTGCCATGGGACACACAGACGACACTATCGCACCGTGGCTGTGCTCCTCTTCACTGCAGGTACAAACAGACTTACACAAAGCATTTGGGGCTGGTGTCTGTACTAGTTTACTCATGTTGAGTTTACAGATGCATACATTCATCATAATAATCACATGCTCCTACATGAACCAATCAGAGTGTTCTATTGGGCTGCACTCTTAGACAGTATGTCCAGTTTGCTGTGGCAGCAACCACAACAATTTCCAGTGAGGGTTTTTTTCCAGCACACACATTTATGTTTCTGAATAAAGCACATTGGCTGAGCTCACACTTTCTGTGGTAGAGAAACTGGAAAGCTGCAAGAGTGAGTGCCAAGAAAAAACAAACCTCAGAATCTGCTCTCTGACCACATGAGTGAAGTCATTGAGACGACCAGGACTGTTGCACATTTGAGAGCAGCTCTGGTTGTTTTCCTAAATAGATATATCTCAACACTTACTACAGCAAGTAGTTCAAACCATTACTCATGTTGTGCCTCACTGAATAATTTACAGTTCTGTTTGGATCAACATTCAATGCTTCCACTTACAACATATTTCGGATCAAATTAACAATTATTATTTCCATGAACTCACTCAACAAGTCAACAATCTCTACAAAATGTACATGTATAACAACTGTATTGAAATTGAACTGCCATTGAAAGTTCTGTTAGGTTCCTTTCTGAACATAATATTGTTTTCATTTCATTAATCAAGCCTTAATTAATCAAGCCTTTGATTTACCTTGGACTCTTTTTTAATCTAAAATAGAAGTGTTCACAATGGGTAGAGCAGACAACGCATGCAGAAAATACAGAAAAATCAAACACTTTGAATGCTAGTGATATGTGATTCTGCACAAGACGATCTTTAGAGTTTGGTTTGAGTTTTCTGTCTGTGCTCTTAACTCCCCTGTCTGAGTTATGAGCACAAAGCCCTATTTAACATGGTGATTCGTTACACATTACTCTACATTTCTCTACACACAGCTACTGTAGGACTATTCAGATTTAGTGAAGATGAAAGCAGCTCAGGCCTGTGCAACATTCTGCTGCCTGCAACATCCTCCACGTGACCGTTTATAAGACTCCCAAAGAAATACCTCCAATAGATTCCCACCCTTTGTGAGACCTTGTGCTGGTGCAGTAGGCCCTGGGAGGCCTCATGTGGCTAGAGTATGTCTGCTGTGCCTGCGTGATGAAGGCATTTGTGTTTGTGACTGGCCTGCACATTCCCCTGACTGGAATTCGATTGAGCTACCTCCACTCACACATCATGTGAAAGTGTGGGCCGGCTCCTGAGGCACAATCATGTCTCAATCCATCCAACAACATCACACGTCATCACAGACTGTCCAGGAGCTGCTGATGCTCTGGGTTCGGTTTCTTTAGGAGAGCATCCATGGTCTCATCAGGAGCATTGTAGTGAGTGTAAAGAGGAGCATGGAGGTCACACAACACTGAGGCTCATCCAGACTCGTCTGGTGGAATTTGCACAGAAGTTGGATTAGCTTGCGAACAGGTCTTTCACTTTGATTCCGAACATTGTTTGAATTCCGGCCTCCATGGGATGAGGATATTAAATTCCAGTAAGCACTCTTCTAGTATTTTGTCCTATATTTAGTCAATAAAGTTTTTTGACCAAATAATCCCATCTACAGTATTTAGTTCCCATTGTGGTTCTTCTGCTTGAATAATTACGGTTTGCTGAATATACTGACTTATGCCCCAAAAAGGCTAGCGCCAGATCTGACTGTGAGGCTTTGTTATTCTTCCGGTGTGTAATTACCCGGTGAGAATCGGGCCTCTCTACAGGCAGCAGCAGCAGCAGCAGCAGCAGCAGCATCAGTGGTAAACATTGACATTGAGGTTGTGAATGCGTGGGATTTATTTTTTGTCCCGAAATTTGATCTAAGGGAGCTGCGAGGCTGTCGGGCACAATACAACGCCACATTCCTGGGCTTCCACTGCTCTGTGTGTTTAGGAAGGAAAGGTGGGACTCATTTCCGGACAATGACTTAAAGAACATGTACAGGACTTTTGTGACATCATCAGCATGATTACTAAAGGGACCATTGCACGCTGGAACAAGATTAGTCACAATAGGTCAGTGTCATTACTAATACTTACTCACAGGGTCACAGGGTAGGGACAAATAACATATTCATGTATATTATATATTAATCATGGATAATTATTTTGGAATATGCAATAACAAAAATAAGCAGTATTATACATGAAAATGTTTTAATTGAATAAACCATTTCAAATTTCCATCAATTGCAGTTGTCGGTGATCTCTTTTTAGATCTACTATATAAAGGTGTATCCGGTTCAATCTGCTCAGGGACTAGACAGATTCAGATTCAGTTTATTTGCCATTTGCAGTAAAAAAAACACATTGGAATACAAAAGTCTCCAGTGTGCACAGACAAATACAGACATAAAACAACATTAAAAGACAAAAATAAAACAAATAAAACAGTAAACAAATGTCACTGTGAAATCGATCGACTAAAACAGTTCAAAACAAGTGCAAATCATTAAAGTGCTCTGTTCACACTGATAACAGCCTGTGGATAAAAACTGTTAGCGTAACGAGATGTCCTGCATCTCAGAGAGCGATATCTCTCAGACACACACTCTTCACCCTGAACTATTGTACAAGTTTTTAGTGGTAGGGGAAATCGGAGCACCCAGAGGAATCTTACCGCCTTGTAATTATTAGCGACAGTCAACAACATTTATGGACATTGGTCATCTGCCCCTTATAGACCAAGAACTTGATTTGTTTTTATATCATTGCTATTCTTGTGTTTGAATGGTTTGATTCTGTGTTGACGAATTCAATGGTTCTGTAAAGTCCTCCGAGTTAACCACTGTTGTGATTTTGGGCTATTTAAGAATACATTAAATTGACAGTTATATTTGGCATAATTGGAGATTAGTAATTATTATTATTGTAGTTATTAATATGAATGTATTTTTCTTTTGTCGCAGTGGTGCTCCAGGCGTGCGCTCTGGTGCTGTATCCGATCAAGTTCATCGACGGCACAGTCCTCCAGACGTACCACGAATTCAACTGGGGCTACGGTCTGGGCTGGGGGGCCACTGTCTTCATGTTGGGGGGGGGCATCCTCTTCTGCCTGCGCACCGACATCTACGACGACCCCATGTACTGACTCGGCCCAAACGAACGCTGTGTGACAAAGGGTGCGCTCCATTTCCTCACCCACGGCTCCCCTGCAGCACACATGTTTTAGCTGTGCCCTATTTATACTCTTTGTGGAGGGGCTAATTTGAGACTGGCCTTTGCGGACTTCTACCAGTGAATTCTGGGTAGGCACGGAGCACAGAAGCTGGACTCATTTTTTCTCAAAATGTATCTATTTAAAGAGACAAAAGCATACATATCAAACCTGAACTGTTTTGTATTTTTGTTGAACAATCACAAGACGTTTTATTAATGTATTTATAGCTTTATTTTTCTCCCAATAGAAAAGCTGTTCTTACTTGTTATACTATCTAAAGCTTCTGCTGTTAGAAGTTTAAATCAGCTCGTGTACAATAATGTAGCAGCAACAAAGTGTTTTTTAGTTTGTACTCAAATGTAGAGGTGGATGTGTTCTTTCTACATGGTGAAAATAAACGTGAGTAGTTTTGAGCAGGTGTGATATTTCTACGGCTATGCACTATATGTGTGTTGACCTTTGGCATCATAGTGGTCTGGAGACACATTCTTTTGGTTCCTCATTCATTAGTGTTGGCACAAAACTAAAATTACAAACTTGAGTCCGATGTCCCCCAGTCAAACTAATTTTATAGCTAAATTTGAAAAGAAAGTACATTTTTTGTCCTTTATAGGTGACACTTGAATATAAGCTGCAGGTTTTCATGTTGTAATGTAGCAGGTAAATGACTGTTTTAACTGGTCACTCCATGATGTAATGACCAGATGTTTATAGCTGAACCGTTAGCTTCATAGCAGTACTCATTCACCAGTCTATTTTGACAATAAACAACTAAGTAATGTTTATTTATATACCACTTTTCACAGATCAGAGTCACAAAGTAGTTTTACAATTGTTATTCTTTTGGGCATTTGTCCTCTAACTCCACACAGAGATGGGAGCAGGGTCGCCAGTACAGGAGGCACATGCCAGACCTATTGTACATATTTTTAGTGGTAGGGGAAACCGGAGTACCCGGAAGAAACCTACGCAGACACGGGGAGAACATGCAAACTCCACTCAGAAAAGCCCTGGTCTGACTGGGATTCAAACCCAGGACCTTCTTGCTGAGATGCGAGAGTGCTATCCAAGTGTCCTATAGCTACTAAAACTTGATGGAGTCAAGTCCATAAACTATTCTTTGACATGCGGCACGGTGGCTGAGTGGATAGCACTCTCGCCTCTCAGCAAGAAGGTCCTGGGTTCGAATCCCGGTTGGACCAGGGCCTTTCTGAGTGAAGTTTGCATGTTCTCCCCGTGTCTGCGTAGGTTTCCTCCGGGTGCTCCGGTTTCCCCTACCACTAAAAAAAATATGTACAATAGGTCTGGCATGTGCCTCCTGTACTGGCACCCCCACTCCCAAAAATAACAATTGTAAACCGCTTTGAGACTCCGATGTGCAGTGAAAAGGCGGTATATAAATAAAGATTACTTACTTACTTACATAACTTTATAAACTGCAGGGTCAATGAACTAGAAAAAGTAGCGGCTTATGGTCCAGAAATGTTGGTACATTAATTTAATGTTTAGATGTTTTGAACAAAATGCATACATGCTGTCTTAGATTGAATTAAAGCTGGATCATAAGTAAGTAAGCCTGGTTATTGCAGACTGATAGGCCAAGGCCAAGTATTATTAATGCTGTTCTGGGTTCAATGCTTAGAATACAATACATTTAGTTGAAAAAACAGATTTAATAGTATGCCATAGTTGCCCGTATCCACGGATCAATGTTTACACATGTTAAAATTATTTGATGTACCTCCTGTAATACCTTTGGCTACCCCTAGGTGTCTACATACCCCTGGTTGGAAATAATAATTTTATTGCTTTTATCTGCTCCTTTTGAGCTGCCTGTTGTGCTATCTGTATGGACAAATAAATGAAAGGAAATAAACAAAGCATATACTTTCTTTGGATGAAAAGTGCACATTTTACCCAAAATATTACAATACAAGAAGAAAGTACATTTTTATGGTGCTACAAGGTTTTATACTAATGCTAAGATCAAATTAAATCAAAAACTAATCTGAGAATCTCATATTTTGTTCATTGTTTGTTTTTTATATTTTTTTTCTGAAATGAGTATCTAGTCAATTATTATCGTCTGATATTTAATACTTTTGACAACAGACTGCACTGCCATCATGAGGATACACTCCAATGTATTTCATTTTTTATTTACCATTGCTTAACTCTTTCCTTTGTTTCCTGTGTATAGGCTTTAGGAAGGCAGCTTTAGTGAGTCTTGATCGACACTTGAGAGTGAATGTTCTAAAGCTGGTATGCCGGCAAAAACTGTATTGTTCGAGTCTTATAATAATTTATGCTTTTTGCTAAGCTTGAGTTGCTTTATTATAACGATGTATTGTTTTGACACAACACAACACATCTTATAGAGTTTTAAAAGTATTTTTATTGACAAGGAAACAAACTTAAATTGAGATCTATAGATATGGCATTAAACAATCATGAGTGTGAAAAAAGTTGAATGGACATTAGGCTCACGTTCAACGCCATGTGGTGCTGAGATTATGGACAAGCATGAAGTATTAGAAGAATTCTAAAATGTAAAAAGCTAGATTTGTTTAACGTTACAAAAATAATTATGTTTTTGCTTGGTCAGAGGAGCAATAATAAAGGACAAGTTAGTTATGGAGCACGAGTGTATCATTGTCCACGTGTTTGTGTCAGAAATCTCAAGTTTAATTCAGCAATCCATCTAACGTTGCTACATTTTAAATGAATGCATCCATTATCCAACAATAGTGTAATTGCAAAGAAAGTAAAACAAGACACAGGTGAAAGTCAGAAAATTAGAATATTGTTAAAAAGTGTATTTATTATTTCTGTAATTCAACTTAAAATGTGAAACCAATACATGTAATAGACACATCGCGTGTAAAGTGACATTTGACGTTTGTTTGTTATAATTTTGATGACTATGGCTTACATTCCATTTTCAAAATATTTAAATATTCTAAGATATTTTATTTGAGTTTTTTTACAAGCTGTGGGTCAATTATCAACATTATAACCAACAAAGGCTTGATATCTTTCACTTTGCACTGAAATAATCTGTCATATATTAGTTCTACAATGTAATTACAGACTTTGTTGGGACAGCGCATGAACACACCTCTCAGATTGTGGCTTTTGGTTAATTTGCATTCCACTGTCTCACTCACAAACATACACGCTTTCACCCTGAACTAGTATACTGTTCTTAATGGTAGGTGAAATCGGAGCACGTGGAGGAAACCCACGTAGACACAGGGAGAACATGCAAACTCCACACAGATACCGTGCATATACTTCTACAGCAGAGAACAAATATGTACAGTCACAGTTGAAATCCTTTAGTTGATACAGTTAGTTTAGTTGATACTCTTCTGTCTTCTTATAATAAAGTTCACACAATACGACATTTTCACGTACAGTAAATTGAATATAGGGGAGTATGCTGCCTCTCTGGGGCAGTAACTGACCCGGCCCTGCACTCTGTTTACAGCAGGGACAGATTCCAGTTACTGATTCAGGGAGACAGAGCCAAGGTGGAGGTCCTCAAGGAATGAAAGTACAGAAATGTGAGAATTATGAACCAAAAGGAATGAACTCAGACCTTACACTGTAGAGTCGAGCGTGTCCTGAGCTCCATCTGGACTCACTGCAGCAGCCAAATGGACAGGACCCTAACTCTCTGGCTGTACATTAGCTCTTCACCAAACTTCTATCAGGACTTAGCTCCACCAAAATTACATATTAACCTGTGGGAAGTCACCTCTGCTACATCTGTCTCCCTTGGTAGGAGAAGATGGATGAAAGATTGCTTATCATTTTCTTTATAATGTTAGGGTTAGGGTTAAAAATATAAACTTAACGTGTCTTAAAGTGTGCATGTAAACTTAGTGCGATGCTGTTTTTGGGATGTTTCTATCACAGATGTCAGTTTTCTTTACTAATAAATATTGCATTCTTACATTACATATCACAAGGATAAATCTTTATCCGTAAAAGGTAGAAGCATCAGTCATGAGCCAGTGCGAGGTCAGGTGCTGTGGGAATCGCACAGATGCTCAGACGCAATGACCTTGACTGCTGCAGTTTTTAGCAAACAAACACAATATCAGCGCAGAGCCACAAGGGCACGTTCTCAACAAGTCCACATGGTTTCAAAATAGTATAAGTACATGATAGATAATACAATTATTTTACAAATGTTTTATTGCAAAAAATTAGAAGCTTATTCACAAATGTCATACAAATTCATCATAACATGAATAAATCAAAAAAACATTAAAGCTTGCACAGCCTAACGTTGCTGTTTTTAAACTTCTAAGTAAAAGCCTGTCTCGCATTTTCAGGAAGACCAGATTACAGCTGCAAAAATCTGAAATGTCCAAGTTTGAGTCATATGGCACTGAACCATGGAGGGACCATCCTGGTTTGACTGGAGAGCCTGGTGAGCAGGCCGTCACAGTTGTCTAAACAAATTGAAATTTGAAATTTGAAGTTGAAATTTATGTCTGAGTCTATTATTACCTATAGATTTTAAAGCAGATCTTTGAGGTTTTAGGGAGAGAGGGGTTAATTGACAATTTCAGTTTTGTCTGAGTTTAGATGGAGAAAGTTACTTTGCATCCACTCACTGATCTGGTGGATGTAGAGAAGGAGTGAGCCACGCAGACAGGCTATAGCAGCCTGTTTTTACTCGCGCGGCGCGGAGCTTACGGAGGTGACGTGACGTCACTTGCGCAACGCGTTGGTCACCGCAAGGCCCTTACGTTACCTGCCGCGCAGCATCGACATTTTCTCTACGGGTCGCCGCAAGGAAGCTCCGCTGTGATTGGTCCGTGTGTGTGTTTTGGAAGGAAGCACGGAGCGGCTGCAGGAGCATGACCGCGGTAAAGAGGTCCGGCTTTCCAGAACCAGCGGTAAAGAGGTCCGCACGT